CCCCCCCCCCACAATCCTACCCATACATCCCTACCCATACAATCCCCTACCATACTCCTAACCCATACACACCCAACACCCCTACAAGTCCCTACCCTACCAATCCCTCCCCTACCATCCTACCCTACAATCCCTACCCCTACATCCCTACCCATACAATCCCCACCCCCCTACATCCCTACCCATACAAACCTACCCCCTACAATCCTACCCTACTCCTCATAAATCCCCCTACCTTCTTCCCCTACCTACATCCTACCCGCCCGACAATCCCCCTACCCTACAATCCCACCCCTACACCATATCTCTATACTACCCACTAATCACCCCCTACCCTACAATCTACCCCCCTACACATCCCCTACCCCCCTACATCCATACTACACCATCCTACCCCTTACAATTCCCCTACCCCCTTCCATCCCCCCTTCCAACCCCCTTTCTCATCACCTTAATCCCCTTACATCCCCCTTAATCCCTTCCATACCCTTACATCCCCTTACATCCCCTTCAATCCCCCTTCCATCCCCTCCATCCCCCTCCCATACCCTTTTCCATCCCTTACATCCCCCTTCCATCCCTTCCATCCCCCCTTTCCATCCCCTTCCATCCCCCTTCATCCCCTTCCATCCCATAAAACAACTCCTTCCCCCATATTTAACATCAACACAACAACCACAATTCCCATCACAATAAACACTTCCCCCTCTTCAACCATTCTCCTTCCTTCCCTTTCCTTCCCCCCTCCTCCTCTTCCCTCCTCCTCTCCATCCTCTTCCTCTTCCTTAAACCCTTACCATCTTCCCCTATCTCCACCCCCAGCCCCTTTTCTATCCACCCTTCACTTAATTCCTGTACATTCCCTCCCCCCCATATTACCCCCAACATATCCTAACACATTCCCCCCCCCTATAAACCAAATTACTACAAAAAACAATACCCAAAACTTAAACCAAACCTCTTCCCCATCTCTCCTCCCATACCCCCCTTACCCCATTAACCCCCCCCTACCCCCCCCCTACCCCACTCCAATACCACCCTTACCACCTTAACCCCCCTACCCCCCCACCCCCATACCACTAAAACCCCTATCCCCCCTACCCCCCCCCCCACCCCAATACTCCATTACCCCCTTACCCCCAAACCTCTTACACCATATCAAACAACATAGCCAACCCCCCAAAAATCCCCCATCCCACAACCCAAAAAAAACATAAAACACAACCCTAAAAAACAAAAACCCCTCTACCATATAATCTTCCCCATATATCCCCCCCCCCCCCCCCCCCCCCCCTACCCCCCTAATTCCATACCCCTACATCCTACCCCTACATTTCCCCTACCCCTACATCCCTACCCCCTACATCCTACCCCCTACATCCCTACTTACCATCCCCCTACCCCCTACACATCCCTACCCCCCTACACATCCCTACCTACACATCCTCTACCCCCTACAATTCCTACCCCCTACATCCTACTTAATACCTACCCTACACTTCCTACCCCTACACATCTACCCCCTAAATCCCTACCCTACACATCCAACATACCCCTACATGCCCTTCCAATTACAACATACTACCTCAATCCCGACCCCTACACATACCTACCATACACATCCCTACCCCCTAACATACCTACCCCTACATCCTCACCCCTACCCATACCTACCCCTACATTCATCCCGACCCATACACATCCCTACCCCCCTACACATCCTAACATCTCCCATCCTACCCTACACATCCTACCTACTCCCTACCCCTACCACATACCCTACCTAACATCCTACCCATACATACCTACCCTACAATCCTACCCTACACATCCATACCCCTATCATCCCAACCCTACACATCCTACCCCTACACATCCATTACCCTACGCACATCCCACCCCCTAATACCTCCCTCTACCCCTACACATCTCTACCCCCTACAATTCCCCTACCCCGAAAATACCTACACTACACATCCCTCCATACACATCCCTACCCTTCATCTCCTACCCTACACATCCCTTCCCCCTACCTATCCCATATACCCCTACATTTACCTACACCGACATATCCATACACTACACATCCTTACCCTACCAATGTCCAACACCTAATCCCTAACCATAAGACCCTTCCCCCTACATTATCGACACATACACATCTACCATACAATCCCTACCCTACATCCCTACCCCTAACTACCTACCCATACATACCTACACTCAATCCTAACCCCTTAATCCCTACACATACACATACCTTCACCTAATACCTACTATACAACATACTACCTGAATCCTACACCATACACATCCACCCCGAATACTACCTACAATACCTTCACCTAATCCCCTACCACCTATCATCTACACCTACACATCCTACACCTACCACATCCCTACCCCCCATTACAGTTTACCCTACAATGCCCACCCATACAATTACTACACATAACATCCTACCCCTACACATACTACCCCTACACATACCACTACCCCTACATCCTACCCCTACCCATCTACCCCTAACACATCCTACCCCCTACACATCCCTACCCACAACATCTACACATGACACATTACCTACACATAACATCTTTCATACATCCTAACCCACCCCCCTACACATCCCTACAATTCACATGTTCTAAACCATAAACATCCCTACCACCGACTCATTACCTACACCTACATATACTACCCATACATACCCTACCCTACAGACCTAACCATACACATTCCCGAACCTACACATTCCCTTCCATATTACCTAACACCATACAATCCCTACCATACTTCCTACACCTACAAATACCTACCATACACAGGTACTTCCCATAATACTACACATACAATCCCTACACTACTTACATACCCCTAATGCCATACACATACACATCCTACCCCTACATCCTACACTATTCACAGACCAAACTACACATACCTACACCTACAGTCCTTCCCAGACACTTCCCTACACAGACATACCTTCCATAATCCGACACCGATCCACATACCATACAATCCCTACACCCATCATACCTAACAGTAATACATACCCATAAAATACCTACCCCATCACATGCCCTACACATACACATCCTACCATACTGTCTACCCTACAATACCGACCTTCACTTCCTACACCTACATCATACAGACACCGATGTCGTCAAATACACATACCGAACGACAGACATACTACACATTCATCATAACCACCGTACACTGACCGTCCCCTACAATACATACACAGAAAATACCTTCCCCCTACTCATGTCCTTCACATAATCCCGACACCTACAATACCGACCCTACACATCCCTACACAGAAGTACTTCACTACCAACTTACCTACACTACCTCCATACCCCTACATACCTACCCATTCACAGACCTTCACTACTTACCTACCATAACAATACACACCCATTCACAGACATACCCATAATACCTACACAGACACAGTACCGACACCTTGATACCTACCCATACAGTCCGACACATACATCCAGTCATTTAACAGACGATCACGTCATGACTACACATAATTACCGTCCAGACACTGACCTCACGAATACCTATACACAGAATGACTTCACTGTATACATAACACCTACATCCGACACATACAGTACCGATCACATTCACGTACACATCCATACACAGACCGACACAGATATCCCGACACATACACATGACCTGAGCCATACATACCTAACATGACAGACCGTACCCATACTGACAGTACAGACTCATGTACCGACACAGACAGTGACGTCACAGTTCAGACCGACAGACACAGTCACAGACTGTCAGAAATGGACAGTCACAGACACTTGCCGTCACAGACAATTACCGACACAGTCTCTGACTACACATACATACCTTCACAGATTTGACCGACATAAACTGGACTGTCCCATACACTGACCAGACCCATTCAGACTTCAAAGTCAACAGACCGATCACAGTCTTGACCGTCACATATGACTTACAGTCTCTGACGACACCAGTAACAGACAGTCACAGACAGCCCGTCAAGTCTCAGACTTCACATATTAGACGACCAGACTTGTACAGTCAGTCTCTGAACGTACAGTAAAGACCGTTCACATACTAACAGACGTATCACAGTCAGACTGACACAGTTGACGACACAGTCACAGACCGGACACAGTTTGGACCGTACAAGTCTCAGACACACCCAGACACAGACAGTCACAGTACATACCGTCCAGGACTGTACCGTCACAGACTGACCGTCACAGACTAGCAGTCATGATATCTCAGGACCTCACAGTCTGGCCTACACAGTCTGACCGTCACAGTCTCAGACGTCACGAGCTGACCGACACAGTCTGACATAAACATTTTCTGACAGACACCAGACTGACCGACACAGTCAGACGTCACAGACTCATGACGTACACAGTATGACCATCACATACTGACAGTCACGTCTCAGACGTCAGTTGACGATCCCAGTCTGACATAACAGTAGACCGTCACAGTCTGACATACACAGTAAGGACCATACAGTCTTACCATCACAGGTCTGCCCGTCCCAGTCTTTGTACCGACACAGTCTTGAGTACCCCCCCCCCCCATAATCAGACCGTCACAGTCTTGGCCGTCACATTCTGACCGTCAAGTCAGACCGTCAGTCTGACCGTACACAGACTCTGACCGACACAGTACAGACACCAGTCCAGACAAGACCGTCACAGTTACTAACAGTCATAGGTTGACCGACACATATCTCAGTACCGTTCACAGTCAGACCGTCACAGTTCTGACCGAAGACTGACCGTCACAGACTGACCTTCACAATCTACTGACCATCACAGTATTACAGACCATACTTATGACGTATCACAGAGCTGGACCTTTCACATACTTGACCCTCACGATACAGCCGGACACGACATACGACACCGTTACAGACCGTCACAGTGTTGACACTCAAAGACAAGACCGTCACGTACTCAGACCTCACCATGAATGACTACACCGATCTATGGAACTTCACAGTCTGCACTTACAAGTCTGACCTCTCACAGTACTTTGACCGTCACAGACTGACTTCATAGTACTGACAGACAGTCTTGCACCGTTCACATTCTCAGACAGACACATTACTGCCGTCTTGTCTCTGACCGTCACAGACTCAGATCGACACCAGTATGACCGTATACACAGACAGACTACACAGTCTTGACCGTCACATACTGACAGATCAGATCACTGCGAAACTGTTCTGACGTCACATACTGACATTCACAGTACTATGACCGTACAGTTGACGTCACAGGCTCTGACCGTCACATTCTACTGACCGACACATTCTGACAGACACCAGCCACAGCAGAAAGTCCTGACCTTCACAGATCTAAGACCGACCAGTCTTGACCGTCACAAAAAGGACAGTCACATAACTTCTGACCTTCACAATCACGCACTCACATGACAATGGGACGTCACCGACACTTTGACCGTCACATACTCAGACAGTCACCGTAGGGACAGATACAGACATACCGACACATACATGTCCAAGTGTCTGTTAACAGTCACAGTATCTCTGACCGTTCCCCAGTTCTGCCCGTCAACGAGTGTCTGAACACTCAAAGTCTGACCGTCTCACAGTCTCATCTGAACTCGACACAGTCCCTGACCAGTCACTAGTCTCGTATTGAACGTACCAGTCTGATCGTTCACAGTACCTGACCTGTTCACAGTCTTTGTCAGGACAGTCACAGCTCCTGACCCGTTCATAGTCTGGACACGTCCAGTCTACTGACCGTCACAGTCTCTGTACCGTCCAGTCTGACAGTTCTGGTCTGTCTTGTCAGTCACAGTCTCTGTAGCGATCCCCACGTTCTCCTGACCGTCACAGTCTGACCGTCACAGTCGCTCCCCCCCTCCCCCCGGACCCGTCACAGTCTGCCAGTCACAGTCCTCTGACCGTCACAGTCTGCCCGTCACAGTTATGGGACCAGTCCCACGTCTCTGACCGTCCCCAGTCCTTGACCGTCCACCGTCTCTGACCGTCTACAGTCTCCTGACCGTCACAGTCTGACAGTCACAGTCTCTGACCGTCTCTCATGTCTGACCGTACAGTCTCTGACCGTCACAGTCTCTGACCGTCACAATCTGTACAGTCACAGTCTCTGACCGGCACAGTCTGACCGTCACAGTCTGATGACAGTCACAGTCTCTGACGTCCACGTCTCTGACCAGTCACAGTCGGACAGTCACAAGGCTGACCGTCACAGCTCTGAACCGTCACAGTCTGACAGTCACAGTCTCTGACACTCACGTGTCTGACAGTCACAGTCTGACCGTCCACAGTCTGACACTACACAGTCCTGACCGTCACCAGTCTCTGACCGTCACAGTCTGACCGTCCACTAGCAGTCTGAAGTCACAGGTCTGTATCGTCACAGTCTGCGACCGTCACTAGTCTCTGACCGTCACAGTCTGACCAGTCCAGGCTCACCGACAGTCCAGTCTCTCGGACCGTCCACAGTCTGCTGACCGTCACCCAGTCTGACGTCACTGTCTCTGACCGTCACAGTTCCTGCCGCCGTCTCACCGTCCTTTGACCGTCATCAGTCTGACCCGTCACAGTCCTCTCTACCGGCGTCACCAGTTGACAGTCACCAGTCTCTCGACCGTTCACAGCTCTCTGACGTCACAGTCTCTCAGTCACAGTCCTGACCTGTCACAGTCTCGGACCGTCACAGTCTCGACCGTCAACCCGTCTCATTGACAGTCACCACGTTTCTGACAGTCACCCAGTCTCCCCCTCGGACCCGTCACCAGATCCCCCCCCCCCCCCCCCCCCCCCCCCCCCCCCCCCTGCGACCCCGTCACAATCTGATCAGTCACCAGTCTCTGGACCGCCCCCATCAATCTGCACATCACAGTCTCTGGTACCCTGTCATTTCACAGTCTCTGGGACCGGTCACAGGTCTCTGACAGTCACAGTCTGACAGTCACAGTCTGACCGTCACCGAGTTCGGTGACCGTCCACAGTCTCGACAGTCACAGTCTGCCCGTCACAGTCCTGCACCGTCTCACAGTCTATGACAGTCACAGTCCACCCGACCTCACAGTCTGACCGTCACAGTCTCTGACCGTTCACAGTCTGCTGACCGTCACAGTCTGACCGTCACCGTCTCTGACCGTCACCGTCCTCTGACAGTCACAATCCTGACCGTCACAGTCTGCTGGACCGGTCACAGTCTGACTGACCGTCAGAGTCTCTGCACCGTCACAGTCTGTGACTCGTCCCAGATCTCTCAGACCGTCACCCAGGACTGAACCCGGGACTGAACTGGCCTGAACAGCCGCGACTAAACCACGGTTCTGGGACAGGTCACAGTCTCATGACGGTCACAGTCTGACCGTCACAGTCTCTGACCGTCCAAAGTCTCTGCCAGTCACAGTGTTGACCGCTTACACGGTCTCCTGGTCCCGTACACCAGTCTGACCCGTCACCAGTCTCAGACCCGTCAAAGTCTGGCTGACCGTCACAAGTTCACTGACAGTTCACACGATTCTGGACAGTTTCCAGATCTACTGACCATACACAGTTTCTGACCGGTCACAGTCTACTGGACCGGCCACAGTCTCTGACCGTCCCCGTTCTGTACAGGATCACAGTCTGCTGACCGTCACAGTTCCGCTGGACCGTCACAGTTCTCTGACCGTCACAGTCTCTGGACTCGTCACCAATTGACAGTACACAGTCCCAGACCGTCACCCGTCGTCTGACACGTCTACCAGTCCTCTGACAGTCACAGGACTGCATGACCGTCACAGTCTGACCGTCACCAGTCTCTGACCGTCCCAGTCGGACAGTCACAGGCTCTGACCGTCACAGTAGACCGTCACGTCTCTGACGTCAGTCTCTGACCGTCACAGTCTGACCGTCACAGTCTCTGACCGTCACAGTCAGACCGTCCCGTCAGACAGCACAGTCTCTGATCCGTACAGTCTGACCGTCACAGTCTCTGACACTCACAGCTCCTGACCGTCACAGTCTCTGACCGTCACAGTCTCTGCCAGTCACAGTCGACCGTAACAGTCTCTGACCGTCACATGTCCTATGACCGTCACAGTCTGACCGTCACAGTCTGACCGCCACAGTCTCTGACAGTCACGTCTGACCGTCCACAGTCTCTGACGTCACAGTCTGACCGTCACAGTCTCTGACGTCCCAGTTTCTGACCGTCACAGTCTCGACAGTCAAAGTCTCTGACCGTCACAGTCTCTGACCGTCACAGTTGCTGACCAGTCACAGGTCTGTGACCATCACCAGTCTGACAGTCACAGTCTGACCGTCAGCAGTCTGACCGTCACCGTCTGACCCGTCACAGTCCTGACCGTCACAGTCTCTGACCGTCACAGTCTGACGTACCGTCTGACATCACAGTCTGACCGTCACAGTCCTCTGACCGTCACAGTCTCTGACCGTCACAGTCTGACGTCTCAGCGTCACTCAGACTCAAAGTCTTGACAGTCCAGTCTGACAGTTACAGTCTCTGACATCACAGTCTGCAGTCACAGTCTGGTCACAGTCTCTGACCGTCACAGTCTGACCGTCACAGTCTCTGACCGTCACAGTCATGACCGTCACAGTCTCTGACCGTCACAGTCTCTGACCGTCACAGTCTGTACAGTCACAGTCCTCTGACGTCACAGTCTTGACCGTCACAGTCTGACAGTCATCAGTATGACCGTCACAGTGTCTGACCGTCACAGTCTCTGACCGTCACAGTCTGACAGTCACCAGTCTCTGACCGTCACTACAGTTTCTGACCGTCACAGTCTCTGACCGTCAGCAGTCTGACCGACACAGTCTGACCGTCACAGTCTCTGACCGTCACAGTCTGACCGTCACAGTCTGACAGTCACAGTCTCTGACAGTCACAGTCTGACCGTCACAGTCTCTGACAGTCAGTCTCTGACCGTCACAGTCTCGGACCCGTCACAGGTTCTCTGACCGTCACAGTTCTGACCGTCATCAGTCTCTGACCGTCACAGTCTCTGACCGTCACAGTCTCTGACCGTCACAGTCTGACCGCCCACAGTCTCTGACCGTCACAGTCTGACCGTCACAGTCTCTGACCGTCCAGTCCTAGACCGTCACAGTCTGCTGACAGTCACAGTTCTCTGACAGTCACAGTCTGACTGTCACAGTCTACTGACAGTCACAGTCTCTGACCGCCTCACCGTGTCTGACAGTCACAGTCCTGTGACCATCACAGTCTGACCGTCACAGTCTCTGACCGTCACAGTCTGACCGTCACAGTCATGACCGTCACAGTCTGACCGTCACAGTCTCCTGACCGTCACAGTCTGACCGTCACAGTCTGCACCGTCACAGTCTGACCGTCACAGTCTACTGACCGTCACAGTCTTTGACAGTCACAGTCCTGACCGTCACGTCTCTGACCTCACCGTCTGACCGTCACAGTCTCTGACCGTCAGTCTGACCGTCACAGTCTTGACCGTCACAGTCTGACCGTCACAGGCCCTCTGACCGTCACAGTTTCTGACCGTCACAGTCTGACAGTCACAGTCTGTGACCGTCACAGTTCTGACCGTCCACAGTCTGACGTCACAGTCTGACCGTCACAGTCTCTGACCATCACAGTCTGACAGTCACAGTCTCTGACCGTCACAGTTCTGACCGTCACAGTCTCGACCGTCACAGTCTGACAGTCCAGTCCTGACCGTCACAGTCTGACCGTCCACCAGTCTGACCGTCACAGTCTCTGACCGTCAAAGCTCTGACCGTCACAGTCTCTGACCGTCACAGTCTGACCAACACAGTCTATAGGACCGTCACAGATCTGACAGTCACAGGTCTCTGACGGTCACAGTCTCTGACCGTCACAGTCTGACCGTCACAGTCTCTGACCGTCACAGTCTCTGACCGTCACAGTCTCTGACCGTCACACTGACAGTCCACAGACCTACCGTCACAGTCAGACAGTCCACAGTCCTGACAGTCACATTCTTGACCGTCACAGTCCTCTGACCGTCACAGTCTGACAGTCCAGGTCTGACAGGCACAGTCTCTGACCGTCACAGACTGACACGTCACCCTCTGACCGTCACAGTCTCTGACTGTCACAGGTCTGACCGTCACAGTCACTGACAGTCACAGTCTCTGACAGTCACAGTCTGACCGTCACAGTCTGACCGTCACAGTCTCCTGACCGTAACAGTCTCTGACCGTCACAGTCTCTGACCGTCACAGTCTGACAGTCACAGTCTCTGACCGTCACAGTCTGACCGTCACAGTCTCTGACCGTCACAGTCTGACCGTCACAGTCTCTGACCGTCACAGTCTCTGGAGTCACAGTCTGACAGTCACAGTCTCTGACCGTCACAGTCTGACCGTCACAGTCTGTGACCGTCACAGTCTCTGACCGTTCACAGTCTCTGACAGTCACAGTCTGACCAGTCACAGTCTGACGTCACAGTCTTGACCGTCACAGTCTGAACCGTCACAGTCTGACGTCACAGTCTCTGACCGTCACAGTCTGACCGTCACAGTCTGACATCGTCACAGTCTGACCGTCACAGTCTCTGACAGTCACAGTCTGACCGTCACAGTCTGACAGTCACTGTCTCTGACCGTCACAGTCTGACAGTCACAGTCTGACCGTCACAGTCTCTGACCGTCACAGTCTGACCGTCACAGTCTGACCGTCACAGTCTGACAGTCACCGTCTGACCGTCACAGTCTCTGACCGTCACAGTCTGACCGTCACAGTCTTGACCGTCACAGTCTCGACGTCACAGTCTGACCGTCACAGTCTGACAGTCACAGTCTGACAGTCACAGTCTGACCGTCACAGTCTGACCGTCACAGTCTCTGACCGTCACAGTCTGACCGTCACAGTCTGACAGTCACAGTCTGACCGTCACAGTCTGACAGTCACAGTCTGACCGTCACAGTCTTGACCGTCACAGTCCTGACAGTCACAGTCTCTGACCGTCACAGTCTGACCGTCACAGTCTGACCGTCACAGTCTCTGACCGTCACAGTCAGTCAGTCTGACCGGTCACAGTCTCTGACCGTCACAGTCTGACCGTCACAGTCTCTGACCGTCACCAGTCTGACCGTCACAGTCTGACCGTCACAGTCTGACCGTCACAGTCTCTGACCGTCCACAGTCTGACCGTCACAGTCTGACACGTCACAGTCACAGTCTGACCGTCACAGTCTCTGACGTCACAGTCTGACTGACCGTCACAGTCTGACAGTCACAGTCTGACAGTCTCTGACCGTCACAGTCTGACCGTCACAGTCTCACAGTCTGACCGTCACAGTCTCTGACAGTCACAGTCTGACCGTCACAGTCTGACCGTCACAGTCTCTGACCGTCACAGTCTGACCGTCACAGTCTGACAGTCACAGTCTGACCGTCACAGTCTCTGACCAGTCACAGTCTGACCGTCACAGTCTGACCGTCACAGTCTCTGACCGTCACAGTCTGACCGTCACAGTCTTGACCGTCACAGTCTGACCGTCACAGTCTCTGACCGTCACAGTCTGACCGTCACAGTCTGACCGTCACAGTCTGACGTCACAGTCTGACCGTCACAGTCTGACCGTCACAGTCTCTGACCGTCACAGTCTGACCAGTCACAGTCTGACCGTCACAGTCTGACCGTCACAGTCTCTGACAGTCACAGTCTCTGAGTACACAGTCTGACCGTCACAGTCTGACCGTCACAGTCTCTGACCGTCACAGTCTGACCGTCACAGTCTGACCGTCACAGTCTGACCGTCACAGTCTGACCGTCACAGTCTGACCGTCACAGTCTGACAGTCACAGTCTCTGACCGTCACAGTCTGACCGTCACAGTCTGACCGTCACAGTCTGACCGTCACAGTCTGACCGTCACAGTCTGACCGTCACAGTCTGACAGTCACAGTCTGACCGTCACAGTCTGACCGTCACAGTCTCTGACCGTCACAGTCTGACCGTCACAGTCTGACCGTCACAGTCTCTGACAGTCACAGTCTGACCGTCACAGTCTGACAGTCACAGTCTGACCGTCACAGTCAGTCTCAGTCTCTGACCGTCACAGTCTGACCGTCACAGTCTCTGACGTCACAGTCTGACCGTCACAGTCTGACCGTCACAGTCTGACCGTCACAGTCTGACCGTCACAGTCTCTGACCGTCACAGTCTGACAGTCACAGTCTGACCAGTCACAGTCTGACAGTCACAGTCTCTGACCGTCACAGTCTGACCGTCACAGTTCTGACCGTCACAGTCTCTGACCGTCACAGTCTCTGACCGTCACAGTCTCTGACAGTCACAGTCTGACAGTCACAGTCTGACCGTCACAGTCTCTGACCGTCACAGTCCTGACCGTCACAGTCTGACCGTCACAGTCTGACAGTCACAGTCTGACCGTCACAGTCTCTGACAGTCACAGTCTGACCGTCACAGTCTGACCGTCACAGTCTCTGACACCGTCACAGTCTGACCGTCACAGTCTGACCGTCACAGTCTGACCGTCACAGTCTCTGACCGTCACAGTCTGACCGTCAGTCTGAGTCACAGTCTCTGACCGTCACAGTCTGACCGTCACAGTCTCTGACAGTCACAGTCTGACGTCACAGTCTGACCGTCACAGTCTGACCGTCACAGTCTCTGACCGTCACAGTCTGACAGTCACAGTCTGACAGTCACAGTCTCTGACCGTCACAGTCTGACCGTCACAGTCTGACCGTCACAGTCTCTGACCGTCACAGTCTGTCACAGTCACAGTCCTGACAGTCACAGTCTGACGTCACAGTCTCTGACCGTCACAGTCTGACCGTCACAGTCTCTGACCGTCACAGTCTGACCGTCACAGTCTGACCGTCACAGTTCTGACCGTCACAGTCTGACCGTCACAGTCTGACAGTCACAGTCTGACAGTCACAGTCTGACCGTCACAGTCTGACCGTCACAGTCTGACCGTCACAGTCTGACCGTCACAGTCTCTGACCGTCACAGTCTGACCGTCACAGTCTGACCGTCACAGTCTCTGACCGTCACAGTCTCTGACCGTCACAGTCTCTGACCGTCACAGTCTGACCGTCACAGTCTGACCGTCACAGTCTCTGACCGTCACAGTCTGACCGTCACAGTCTGACCGCGTCACAGTCTCTGACCGTCACAGTCTGACCGTCACAGTCACAGTCACAGTCTGACCGTCACAGTCTGACCGTCACAGTCTGACCGTCACAGTCTGACCGTCACAGTCTGACGTCACAGTCTCTGACCGTCACAGTCTCTGACCGTCACAGTCTGACCGTCACAGTCTCTGACCGTCACAGTGTCTGACCGTCACAGTCTGACCGTCACAGTCTCTGACCGTCACAGTCTGACCGTCACAGTCTGACCGTCACAGTCTGACCGTCACAGTCTGACCGTCACAGTCTGACCGTCACAGTCTGACCGTCACAGTCTGACCGTCACAGTCTGACCGTCACAGTCACCGTCACTCTGACCGTCACAGTCTCTGACCGTCACAGTCACTGACCGTCACAGTCTGACCGTCACAGTCTCTGACCGTCACAGTCTGACCGTCACAGTCTGACCGTCACAGTCTCTGACCGTCACAGTCTCTGACCGTCACAGTCTGACCGTCACAGTCTCTGACCGTCACAGTCTCTGACCGTCACAGTCTGACCGTCACAGTCTCTGACACGTCACAGTCTGACCGTCACAGTCTGACAGTCACAGTCTCTGACCGTCACAGTCTGACCGTCACAGTCTCTGACCGTCACAGTCTGACAGTCACAGTCTGACCGTCACAGTCCTGACAGTCACAGTCTCTGACCGTCACAGTCTGACCGTCACAGTCTGACCGTCACAGTCTGACCGTCACAGTCTCTGACGTCACAGTCTCTGACCGTCACAGTCTCTGACAGTCACAGTCCTCTGACCGTCACAGTCTGACCGTCACAGTCTCTGACCGTCACAGTCTGACCGTCACAGTCTGACCGTCACAGTCTGACAGTCACAGTACTCTGACAGTCACAGTCTGACAGTCACAGTCTCTGACCGTCACAGTCTGACCGTCACAGTCTGACCAGTCACAGTCTCTGACCGTCACAGTCTGACCGTCACAGTCTCTGACAGTCACAGTCTGACCGTCACAGTCTCTGACCGTCACAGTCTCTGACCGTCACAGTCTCTGACCGTCACAGTCTGACCGTCACAGTCTCTGACCGTCACAGTCTGACGTCACAGTCTCTGACAGTCACAGTCTCTGACCGTCACAGTCTGACCGTCACAGTCTCTGACCGTCACAGTCTCTGACAGTCACAGTCTGACCGTCACAGTCTGACCGTCACAGTCTGACCGTCACAGTCTGACCGTCACAGTCTCTGACCGTCACAGTCTGACCGTCACAGTCCTCTGACCGTCACAGTCTCTGACAGTCACAGTCTGACCGTCACAGTCTCTGACCGTCACAGTCTCTGACCGTCACAGTCTGACCGTCACAGTCTCTGACAGTCACAGTCTGACCGTCACAGTCTCTGACCGTCACAGTCTGACCGTCACAGTCTCTGACCGTCACAGTCTCTGACCGTCACAGTCTGACCGTCACAGTCTGACCGTCACAGTCTCTGACCGTCACAGTCTCTGACCGTCACAGTCTGACCGTCACAGTCTCTGACCGTCACAGTCTGACCGTCACAGTCTGACCGTCACAGTCTGACCGTCACAGTCTGACCGTCACAGTCTTGACCGTCACAGTCTGACCGTCACAGTCTCTGACCGTCACAGTCTCTGACCGTCACAGTCTGACCGTCACAGTCTGACCGTCACAGTCTCTGACCGTCACAGTCTGACCGTCACAGTCTGACCGTCACAGTCTCTGACCGTCACAGTCTGACCGTCACAGTCTCTGACCGTCACAGTCTGACCGTCACAGTCTCTGACCGTCACAGTCTCTGACCGTCACAGTCTCTGACCGTCACAGTCTGACCAGTCACAGTCTCTGACCGTCACAGTCTGACCGTCACAGTCTCTGACCGTCACAGTCTGACCGTCACAGTCTGACCGTCACAGTCTGACCGTCACAGTCTCTGACCGTCACAGTCTGACCGTCACAGTCTGACCGTCACAGTCTGACCGTCACAGTCTCTGACCGACACAGTCTGACGTCACAGTCTGACGTCACAGTCTCTGACCGTCACAGTCTCGTCAGCACCGTCAGTCTCTGACCGTCACAGTCTGACCGTCACAGTCTCTGACCGTCACAGTCTGACCGTCACAGTCTCTGACCGTCACAGTCTCTGACCGTCACAGTCTCTGACCGTCACAGTCTGTGACCGTCACGTCTGACCCGTCACAGTCTGACCGTCACAGTCCTGACCGTCACAGTCTGAGCGTCACAGTCTGACCGTCACAGTCTGACCGTCACAGCTCTCTGACCGTCACAGTGACCGTCACAGTCTGACAGTCACAGTCTCTGACCGTCACAGTCTCTGACAGTCACAGTCTGACCGTCACAGTCTCTGACCGTCACAGTCTGACCGTCACAGTCTGACCGTCACAGTCTGACCGTCACACTGACGTCACAGTCTGACCGTCACTGACAGTCACAGTCTCTGACAGTCACAGTCTGACCGTCACAAGTCTTGACCGTCACAGTCCTCTGACAGTCCCACAGTCTCTGACCGTCACAGTCTGACCGTCACAGTCTGACCGTCACAGTCAGACCATCACAGTCTGACAGTCACAGTCTCTGACGTCACAGTCTGACAGTCACAGTCTCTGACCGTCACAGTCTGACCGTCACAGTCTGTGACCGTCACAGTCTGGACCGTCACAGTCGCCTGACCGTCACAGTCTCTGACCGTCACAGTCTCTGACCGTCACAGTCTCTGACCGTCACAGTCTGACCGTCACAGTCTGACACGTCACAGTCTCTGACCGTCACAGTCTGACAGTCACAGTCTCTGACCGTCACTGTTCTGACCGTCACAGTCTCTGACCCGTCACAGTCTCTGACCGTCACAGTCTGACCGTCACAGTCTGACGTCACGTCTGACCGTCACAGTCTGAGCGGTCACAGACTGCCTCTGACCGTCACAGTCTCTGACCGTCACAGTCTGACCGTCACAGTCTGACACAGTCACAGTCTGACCCCGTCACAGTCTCCTGTACCGTCACAGTCTTGACCGTCACACGTCTGACAGTCACATTCTCTGAACCGTCAAAAGTCTCTGACCGTCACAGTCTGACAGTCACAGTCTCTGACCGTCACAGTCTCTGACCATCACTGTCTCGACAGTCAAAGTCTTCTGACCGTCTCAGTCTGACCGTCACAGTCACTGACCATCACAGTCTCTGACCGTCATAGTCTCTGTCCGTCACAGTCTCCTGACCGTCACAAGTCTCTGACCGTCACAGTTCTGACAGTCACAGTCGCTGACCGTCACAGTCTGACCTCACAGTCTGGACCGTCACAGTCCCTCACCATCACAGTCTGACCGTCCACAGTCTGACAGTCACACGTCTCTGACCGTCACAAGTCTGACCATCACAGTCCCTGACTGGTCACAGTCTCTGACCGTCAACAGTCTCTGACCGTCACAGACTGACGTCACAGTATGACCTCCACATATGACCAGTCACAGTCTGACCGTCACAGTCGCTGACCGTCACAGTCCTGACCTTCACATTCCTCAGACCGTCACAGTCTGACGTCACAGTCTCTGACCGTCACAGACTGACCGTGTGACGGTCAGTCTCTGACCTGTGACCGGTCAGTCCTCTGAGACTGTGACGGTCAGTCTGACGTCACCAGTCTGACCGTCACAGTCCTGACCGCCACAGTCTCTGACAGTAATAGTCTACCGCAAAGTGACAGTCTTGACCATCACACAGGTCAGACAGTCTGTCAGTCCAGACCGTCACATCTGACGGTCACAGCTCTGACCTCACAGGCTGACTGACCGTCAGTCTCTGACCGGACAGTCTGACAGTCACAGTGACTGTCAAGGTACAGACTGTGACGGTCAGAGACGGTGTGACGGTCAGACTGTGACGGTCAGACTGTGACTGTGACGGTCAGAGACTGTGACGGTCAGACTGTGACGGTCAGACTGTGACGGTCAGAGACTGTGACGGTCAGACTGTGACGGTCAGAGACTGTGACGGTCAGAGACTGTGACTGTCAGACTGTGACTGGTGACGGTCAGACTGTGACGGTCAGAGACTGTGACGGTCAGACTGTGACGGTCAGAGACTGTGACGGTCAGAGACTGTGACTGTCAGAGACTGTGACTGTCAGACTGTGACGGTCAGACTGTGACGGTCAGACTGTGACGGTCAGAGACTGTGACGGTCAGACTGTGACGGTCAGACTGTGACGGTGACGGTCAGACTGTGACTGTCAGACTGTGACGACTGTCAGTCAGACTGTGACGGTCAGAGACTGTGACGGTCAGACTGTGACGGTCAGAGACTGTGACTGTCAGAGACTGTGACGGTCAGAGACTGTGACGGTCAGACTGTGACGGTCAGAGACTGTGACGGTCAGAGACTGTGACGGTCAGACTGTGACTGTCAGAGACTGTGACTGTCAGACTGTGACGGTCAGAGACTGTGACGGTCAGAGACTGTGACGGTCAGACTGTGACGTCAGAGACTGTGACGGTCAGACTGTGACGGTCAGGTGACTGTCAGACGGTCGAACTGTGACGAGACTGTGACGGTCAGAGACTGTGACGGTCAGACTGTGACTGTCAGACTGTGACGTCGAGACTGTGACGGTCAGAGACTGTGACGGTCAGAGACTGTGACTGGTCAGAGACTGTGACGGTCAGAGACTGTGACGGTCAGACTGTGACGGTCAGAGACTGTGACGGTCAGAATGTGACTGTCAGACTGTGACGGTCAGAGACTGTGACGGTCAGACTGTGACGGTCAGAGACTGTGACGGTCAGACTGTGACGGTCAGAGACTGTGACGGTCAGAGACTGTGACGGTCAGAGACTGTGACGGTCAGACTGTGACGGTCAGAGACTGTGACGGTCAGACTGTGACGGTCAGACTGTGACTGTCAGACTGTGACGGTCAGACTGTGACGGTCAGAGACGAGACTGTGACGGTCAGAGACTGTGACGGTCAGAGACTGTGACGGTCAGACTGTGACGGTCAGACTGTGACGGTCAGAATGTGACTGTCAGACTGTGACGGTCAGAGACTGTGATGGTCAGAGACTGTGACGGTCAGACTGTGACGGTCAGACTGTGACGGTAGACTGTGACGGTCAGAGACTGTGACGGTCAGAGACGGTCAGACTGTGACTGTCAGACTGTGACGGTCAGACCAGACTGTGACTGTCAGAGACTGTGACGGTCAGACTGTGACGGTCAGAGACTGTGACGGTCAGAGACTGTGACGGTCAGACTGTGACTGTCAGACTGTGACGGTCAAAGACTGTGACGGTCAGACTGTGATGGTCAGACTGTGACGGTCAGAGACTGTGACGGTCAGACTGTGACTGTCAGAGACTGTGACGGTCAGACACTGTGGCGGTCAGACTGTGAGTGTCAGAGACTGTGACGGTCAGACTGTGACGGTCAGACTGTGACGGTCACAGACTGTGACGGTCAGAGACTGTGACTGTCAGACTGTGACTGTCACGGACTGTGACGGTCAGACTGTGTCGGTCAGAGACTGTGACGGTCAGACTGTGACGGTCAGAGACTGTGACTGTCAGACTGTGACGGTCAGACTGTGACGGTCAGAGACTGTGACTGTCAGACTGTGACTGTCAGACTGTGACGGTCAGAGACTGTGACGGTCAGACTGTGATGGTCAGACTGTGACGGTCAGAGACTGTGACGGTCAGACTGTGACTGTCAGAGACTGTGACGGTCAGACTGTGAGTGTTAGAGACTGTGACGGTCAGACTGTGAAGGTCAGACTGTGACGGTCAGAGACTGTGACTGTCAGACTGTGACGGTCAGACTGTGACGGTCACAGACTGTGACGGTCAGACTGTGACGGTCAGAGACTGTGACTGTCAGACTGTGACGGTCAGACTGTGACGGTCACAGACTGTGACGGTCAGACTGTGACGGTCAGAGACTGTGACGGTCAGAGACTGTGACGGTCAGACTGTGACTGTCAGGGACTGTGACGGTCAGAGACTGTGACGGTCAGACTGTGACGGTCAGAGACTGTGACGGTCAGAGACTGTGACGGTCAGACTGTGACGGTCAGACTGTGACTGTCACGAACTGTGACGGTCAGACTGTGACGGTCAGACTGTGACTGTCAGAGACTGTGACGGTCAGACTGTGACGGTCAGACTGTGACTGTCAGACTGTGACTGTCAGAGACTGTGACGGTCAGAGACTGTGACGGTCATAGACTGTGAGTGTCAGATTGTGACGGTCAGAGACTGTGACTGTCAGATTGTGAGGGTCAGAGACTGTGACGGTCAGAGACTGTGACTGTCAGAACGTGACGGTCAGAGACTGTGACTGTCAGATTGTGAAGGTCAGAGACTGTGACGGTCAGAGACTGTGACGGTCAGACTGTGACTGTCAGAGACTGTAACTGTCAGACTGTGACTGTCAGAGACTTTGACGGTCAGAGACTGTGACGGTCAGACTGTGACGGTCAGAGACTGTGACTGTCAGACCGGGTTCAGTCCGGCTTCAGTCCGGGTTCAGTCCGGGTTCAGTCCTGGTAACGGTCAGAGACTGTGACGGTCAGAGACTGTGACTGTCAGGGACTGTGACTGTCAGATTGTGAAGGTCAGAGACTGTGACGGTCAGAGACTGTGATGGTCAGACTGTGACGGTCAGAGACTGTAACTGTCAGACTGTGACTGTCAGAGACTGTGACGGTCAGAGACTGTGACGGTCAGACTGTGACGGTCAGAGACTGTGACTGTCAGACTGTGACTGTCAGACTGTGACGGTCAGAGACTGTGACGGTCAGAATGTGACTGTCAGACTGTGACGGTCAGAGACTGTGACGGTCAGAGACTGTGACGGTCAGACTGTGACGGTCAGACTGTGACGGTCAGAGACTGTGACGGTCAGACTGTGACGGTCAGACTGTGACGGTCAGAGACTGTGACGTTCAGACTGTGACGTTCAGACTGTGACGGTCAGACTGTGACTGTCAGACTGTGACGGTCAGACTGTGACTGTAAGAGACTGTGACGGTCAGACTGTGACGGTCAGAGACTGTGACGGTCAGAGACTGTGACTGTCAGACTGTGACGGTCAGACTGTGACTGTCAGACTGTGACGGTCAGAGACTGTGACGGTCAGACTGTGATGGTCAGACTGTGACGGTCAGAGACTGTGACGGTCAGACTGTGACTGTCAGAGACTGTGACGGTCAGAGACTGTGACGGTCAGACTGTGAGTGTCAGAGACTGTGACGGTCAGACTGTGGCGGTCAGACTGTGACGGTCACAGACTGTGACGGTCAGACTGTGACGGTCAGAGACTGTGACTGTCAGACTGTGACTGTCAGACTGTGACGGTCAGACTGTGACTGTCAGAGACTGTGGCGGTCAGACTGTGACGGTCAGACTGTGACGGTCAGACTGTGACGGTCAGAGACTGTGACGGTCAGAGACTGTGACGGTCAGAGACTGTGACGGTCAGACTGTGACTGTCAGAGACTGTGACGGTCAGAGACTGTGACGGTCAGAGACTGTGAGTGTCAGAGACTGTGACGGTCAGACTGTGACGGTCAGAGACTGTGACTGTCAGACTGTGACGGTCTGACTGTGACGGTCAGAGACTGTGACGGTCAGAGACTGTGACGGTCAGACTGTGACGGTCAGAGACTGACGGTCAGAGACTGTGACGGTCAGACTGTGACGGTCAGAGACTGTGACTGTCAGACTGTGACGGTCAGAGACTGTGACGGTCAGACTGTGACGGTCATACTGTGACTGTCAGACTGTAACGGTCAGAGACTGTGACGGTCAGGGACTGTGACTGTCAGATTGTGACGGTGAGAGACTGTGACGGTCAGAGACTGTGACGGTCAGACTGTGACGGTCAGAGACTGTGACTGTCAGACTGTGACGGTCAGAGACTGTGACGGTCAGACTGTGACTGTCAGACTGTGATGGTCAGAGACTGTAACTGTCAGACTGTGACTGTCAGAGACTTTGACGGTCAGAGACTGTGACGGTCAGAGACTGTGACGGTCAGACTGTGACGGTCAGAGACTGTGACGGTCAGAATGTGACTGTCAGACTGTGACGGTCAGAGACTGTGACGGTCAGAGACTGTGACGGTCAGACTGTGACGGTCAGACTGTGACGGTCAGAGACTGTGACGTTCAGACTGTGATGTTCAGACTGTGACGGTCAGACTGTGACTGTCAGACTGTGACAGTCAGACTGTGACTGTAAGAGACTGTGACGGTCAGACTGTGACGGTCAGAGACTGTGACGGTCAGAGACTGTGACTGTCAGACCGGTCAGACTGTGACTGTCAGACTGTGACGGTCAAAGACTGTGACGGTCAGACTGTGATGGTCAGACTGTGACGGTCAGAGACTGTGATGGTCAGACTGTGACTGTCAGAGACTGTGACGGTCAGAGACTGTGACGGTCAGACTGTGAGTGTCAGAGACTGTGACGGTCAGACTGTGACGGTCAGACTGTGACGGTCACAGACTGTGACGGTCAGAGACTGTGACTGTCAGACTGTGACTGTCAGACTGTGACGGTCAGACTGTGTCGGTCAGAGACTGTGACGGTCAGACTGTGACGGTCAGAGACTGTGACTGTCAGACTGTGACGGTCAGACTGTGACGGTCAGAGACTGTGACTGTCAGACTGTGACTGTCAGACTGTGACGGTCAGAGACTGTGACGGTCAGACTGTGATGGTCAGACTGTGACGGTCAGGGACTGTGACGGTCAGACTGTGACTGTCAGAGACTGTGACGGTCAGAGACTGTGACGGTCAGACTGTGAGTGTTAGAGACTGTGACGGTCAGACTGTGACGGTCAGACTGTGACGGTCAGAGACTGTGACGGTCAGAGACTGTGACTGTCAGACTGTTCCGGTCAGACTGTGACTGTCAGACTGTGACGGTCAAAGACTGTGACGGTCAGACTGTGATGGTCAGACTGTGACGGTCAGAGACTGTGACGGTCAGACTGTGACTGTCAGAGACTGTGACGGTCAGAGACTGTGACGGTCAGACTGTGAGTGTCAGAGACTGTGACGGTCAGACTGTGACGGTCAGACTGTGACGGTCACAGACTGTGACGGTCAGAGACTGTGACTGTCAGACTGTGACTGTCAGACTGTGACGGTCAGACTATGACGGTCAGAGACTGTGACGGTCAGACTGTGACGGTCAGAGACTGTGACTGTCAGACTGTGACGGTCAGACTGTGACGGTCAGAGACTGTGACTGTCAGACTGTGACTGTCAGACTGTGACGGTCAGAGACTGTGACGGTCAGACTGTGATGGTCAGACTGTGACGGTCAGGGACTGTGACGGTCAGACTGTGACTGTCAGAGACTGTGACGGTCAGAGACTGTGACGGTCAGACTGTGAGTGTTAGAGACTGTGACGGTCAGACTGTGAAGGTCAGACTGTGACGGTCAGAGACTGTGACTGTAAGACTGTGACGGTCAGACTGTGACGGTCAGACTGTGACGGTCACAGACTGTGACGGTCAGAGACTGTGACGGTCACAGACTGTGACGGTCAGAGACTATGACGGTCAGAGACTGTGACGGTCAGAGACTGTGACGGTCAGACTGTGACTGTCAGGGACTGTGACGGTCAGAGACTGTGACGGTCAGACTGTGACGGTCAGAGACTGTGACGGTCAGAGACTGTGACGGTCAGACTGTGACGGTCAGACTGTGACTGTCAGAGACTGTGACGGTCAGACTGTGACGGTCAGACTGTGACTGTCAGAGACTGTGACGGTCAGACTGTGACGGTCAGACTGTGACTGTCAGACTGTGACTGTCAGAGACTGTGACGGTCAGAGACTGTGACGGTCATAGACTGTGAGTGTCAGATTGTGACGGTCAGAGACTGTGACTGTCAGATTGTGACGGTCAGAGACTGTGACGGTCAGAGACTGTGACGGTCAGACTGTGACGGTCAGAGACTGTGACTGTCAGAACGTGACGGTCAGAGACTGTGACTGTCAGATGTGAGGTCAGAGACTGTGACGGTCAGAGACTGTGACGGTCAGACTGTGACGGTCAGAGACTGTACTGTCAGACTGTGACTGTCAGAGACTGTGACCGTCAGAGACTGTGACGGTCAGACTGTGACGGTCAGAGACTGTGACTGTCAGACCGGGTTCAGTCCGGCTTCAGTCCGGGTTCAGTCCGGGTTCAGTCCTGGTGACGGTCAGAGACTGTGACGGTCAGAGACTGTGACTGTCTGGGACTGTGACTGTCAGATTGTGAAGGTCAGAGACTGTGACGGTCAGAGACTGTGATGGTCAGACTGTGACGGTCAGAGACTGTAACTGTCAGACTGTGACGGTCAGAGACTGTGACGGTCAGAGACTGTGACGGTCAGACTGTGACGTTCAGAGACTGTGACGGTCAGACTGTGACGGTCAGAGACTGTGACGGTCAGACTTTGAGTGTCAGAGACTGTGACGGTCAGACTGTGACGGTCAGACTGTGACTGTCAGACACTGTGAGTGTCAGAGACTGTGACGGTCAGACTGTGACGGTCAGAGACTGTGACTGTCAGACTGTGATGGTCAGAGACTGTGACGGTCAGACTGTGACGGTCAGACTGTGACGGTCAGACTGTGACGGTCACAGACTGTGACTGTCAGACTGTGACTGTTAGAAACTGTGACGGTCAGAGCCTGTGACGGTCAGACTGTGACGGTCAGAGACTGTGACGGTCAGACTGACGGTCAGACTGTGACGGTCAGACTGTGACGGTCAGAGACTGTGACGGTCAGACTGTGACGGTCAAAGACTGTGACGGTCAGAGACTGTGACGGTCAGACTGTGATGGTCAGACTGTGACTGTCAGACTGTGACGGTCAGAGACTGTGACGGTCAGACTGTGACGGTCAGACTGTGACTGTCAGACTGTGACGGTCAGACTGTGACTGTCAGACTGTGATGGTCAGAGACTGTGACTGTCAGACTGTGACGGTCAGAGACTGTGACGGTCAGAGACTGTGACGGTCAGACTGTGACGGTCAGAGACTGTGACGGTCAGAGACTGTGACGGTCAGACTGTGACGGTCAGAGACTGTGACGGTCAGACTGTGACGGTCAGAGACTGTGACGGTCAGACTGTGACGGTCAGACTGTGACGGTCAGAGACTGTGACGGTCAGACTGTGACGGTCAGACTGTGACGGTCAGAGACTGTGACGGTCAGAGACTGTGACGGTCAGAGACTGTGACGGTCAGAGACTGTGACGGTCAGACTGTGACGGTCAGAGACTGTGACGGTCAGACGTGACTGACGGTCAGAGACTGTGACGGTCAGAGACTGACGTCAGACGTGACGGTCAGAGACTGTGACGGTCAGAGACTGTGACGGTCAGAGACTGTGACGGTCAGACTGTGACGGTCAGAGACTGTGACGGTCAGACTGTGACGGTCAGAGACTGTGACGGTCAGACTTTGAGTGTCAGACACTGTGACCAGACTGTGACTATCAGACACTGAGTGTCAGAGACTGTGACGGTCAGACTGTGACGGTCAGACTGTGACGGTCAGACTGTGACGGTCAGAGACTGTGACGGTCAGACTTTGAGTGTCAGACACTGTGACGGTCAGACTGTGACGGTCAGACTGTGACTGTCAGACACTGTGAGTGTCAGAGACTGTGACGGTCAGACTGTGACGGTCAGAGACTGTGACGGTCAGACTGTGACTGTCAGACTGTGACTGTCAGAGACTGTGACGGTCAGAGACTGTGACGGTCATAGACTGTGAGTGTCAGATTGTGACGGTCAGAGACTGTGACTGTCAGATTGTGACGGTCAGAGACTGTGACGGTCAGAGACTGTGACGGTCAGACTGTGACGGTCAGAGACTGTGACTGTCAGACTGTGACTGTCAGAGACTGTGACGGTCAGAGACTGTGACGGTCAGACTGTGACGGTCAGAGACTGTGACTGTCAGACTGTGACGGTCAGACTGTGACGGTCAGAGACTGTGACTGTCAGACTGTGACGGTCAGAGACTGTGACGGTCAGACTGTGACGGTCAGAGACTGTGACGCTCAGAGACTGTGACGGTCAGAGACAGACTGTCAGACTGTGACGGTCAGAGACTGTGACGGTCAGAGACTGACTGTCAGACTATGACGGTCAGACTGTGACGGTCAGAGACTGTGACGGTCAGACTGTGACGATCAGACTGTGACGTTCAGAGACTGTGACGGTCAGACTGTGACGGTCAGAGACTGTGACGGTCAGACTTTGAGTGTCAGACACTGTGACGGTCAGACTGTGACGGTCAGACTGTGACTGTCAGACACTGTGAGTGTCAGAGACTGTGACGGTCAGACTGTGACGGTCAGAGACTGTGACTGTCAGACTGTGATGGTCAGAGACTGTGACGGTCAGACTGTGACGGTCAGACTGTGACGGTCAGACTGTGACGGTCAGACTGTGACGGTCTGAGACTGTGACTGTCAGACTATGACTGTTAGAAACTGTGACGGTCAGAGACTGTGACGGTCAGACTGTGACGGTCAGAGACTGTGACGGTCAGACTGACGGTCAGACTGTGACGGTCAGACTGTGACGGTCAGAGACTGTGACGGTCAGACTGTGACGGTCAAAGACTGTGACGGTCAGAGACTGTGACGGTCAGACTGTGATGGTCAGACTGTGATGGTCAGACTGTGACTGTCAGACTGTGACGGTCAGACTGTGACTGTCAGACTGTGACGGTCAGACTGACGGTCAGAGACTGTGACTGTCAGACTGTGATGGTCAGACTGTGACGGTCAGAGACTGTGACGGTCAGACTGTGACGGTCAGACTGTGACTGTCAGACTGTGACTGTCAGACTGTGACGGTCAGACTGTGACGGTCAGAGACTGTGACGGTCAGACTGTGACGGTCAGACTGTGACGGTCAGAGACTCTGACTGTCAGACTGTGACGGTCAGACTGTGACGGTCAGACTGTGACGGTCAGAGACTGTGACGGTCAGACTGTGACTGTCAGAGACTGTGAGTGTCAGAGACTGTGACGGTCAGACTGTGACGGTCAGAGACTGTGACTGTCAGACTGTGACAGTCTGACTGTGACGGTCAGAGACTGTGACGGTCAGACTGTGACGGTCAGAGACTGACGGTCAGAGACTGTGACGGTCAGACTGTGACGGTCAGAGACTGTGACGGTCAGACTGTGACTGTCAGAGACTGTGACGGTCAGAGACTGTGACGGTCAGACTGTGACGGTCAGAGACTGTGACGGTCAGAGACTTTGACGGTCAGACTGTGACTGTCAGAGACTGTGACGGTCAGAGACTGACGGTCAGCGACTGTGACGGTCAGACTGTGACGGTCAGAGACTGTGACGGTCAGACTGTGACGGTCAGAGACTGTGACTGTCAGAGACTGTGACGGTCAGAGACTGTGACGGTCAGACTGTGACGGTCAGACTGTGACGGTCAGACTGTGACGGTCAGAGACTGTGACGGTCAGACTGTGACTGTCAGAGACTGTGAGTGTCAGAGACTGTGACGGTCAGACTGTGACGGTCAGACTGTGACTGTCAGACTGTGACTGTCAGACTGTGACGGTCAGACTGTGACGGTCAGAGACTGTGACGGTCAGACTGTGACGGTCAGACTGTGACGGTCAGAGACTCTGACTGTCAGACTGTGACGGTCAGACTGTGACGGTCAGACTGTGACGGTCAGAGACTGTGACGGTCAGACTGTGACTGTCAGAGACTGTGAGTGTCAGAGACTGTGACGGTCAGACTGTGACGGTCAGAGACTGTGACTGTCAGACTGTGACAGTCTGACTGTGACGGTCAGAGACTGTGACGGTCAGACTGTGACGGTCAGAGACTGACGGTCAGAGACTGTGACGGTCAGACTGTGACGGTCAGAGACTGTGACGGTCAGACTGTGACTGTCAGAGACTGTGACGGTCAGAGACTGTGACGATCAGACTGTGACGGTCAGAGACTGTGACGGTCAGAGACTTTGACGGTCAGACTGTGACTGTCAGAGACTGTGACGGTCAGAGACTGACGGTCAGAGACTGTGACGGTCAGACTGTGACGGTCAGAGACTGTGACTGTCAGAGACTGTGACGGTCAGAGACTGTGACGGTCAGACTGTGACGGTCAGACTGTGACGGTCAGAGACTGTGACTGTCAGACTGTGACGGTCAGACTGTGACGGTCAGACTGTGACGGTCAGAGACTGTGACGGTCAGACTGTGACTGTCAGAGACTGTGAGTGTCAGAGACTGTGACGGTCAGACTTTGACGGTCAGAGACTGTGACTGTCAGACTGTGACAGTCTGACTGTGACGGTCAGAGACTGTGACGGTCAGACTGTGACGGTCAGAGACTGACGGTCAGAGACTGTGACGGTCAGACTGTGACGGTCAGAGACTGTGACGGTCAGACTGTGACTGTCAGAGACTGTGACGGTCAGAGACTGTGACGGTCAGACTGTGACTGTCAGACTGTGACGGTCAGAGACTGTGACGGTCAGAGACTGTGACGGTCAGACTGTGACGGTCAGAGACTGTGACGGTCAGAGACTGTGACTGTCAGAGACTGTGACGGTCAGACTGACGGTCAGACTGTGACGGTCAGAGACTGTGACGGTCAGAGATTGTGACTGTCAGAGACTGTGACGGTCAGAGACTGTGACGGTCAGTGACTGTGACGGTCAGACTGTGACTGTCAGAGACTGTGACGGTCAGAGACTGTGACGGTCAGACTGTGACGGTCAGACTGTGACGGTCAGAGACTGTGACGGTCAGAGACTTTGACGGCCAGACTGTGACTGTCAGAGACTGTGACGGTCAGAGACTGTGACGGTCAGACTGTGACGGTCAGACTGTGACGGTCAGAGACTGTGACGGTCAGACTGTGACGGTCAGAGACTGTGACGGTCAGACTGACGGTCAGAGACTCTGACGGTCAGAGACTGTGACGGTCAGAGACTGTGACGGTCAGACTGTGACGGTCAGAGACTGTGACGGTCAGACTGTGACGGTCAGAGACTGTGACGGTCAGACTGACGGTCAGAGACTGTGACGGTCAGAGACTGTGACGCTCAGAGACTGTGACGGTCAGACTGTGACTGTCAGACTGTGATGGTCAGAGACTGTGACCGTCAGAGACTGTGACGGTCAGAGACTGTGACGGTCAGACTGTGACTGTCAGAGACTGTGACGGTCAGAGACTGTGACGGTCAGACTGTGACGGTCAGAGACTGACGGTCAGAGACTGTGACGGTCAGACTGTGACGGTCAGAGACTGTGACGCTCAGAGACTGTGACGGTCAGACTGTGATGGTCAGAGACTGTGACCGTCAGAGACTGTGACGGTCCGAGACTGTGACGGTCAGACTGTGACGGTCAGAGACTGACGGTCAGAGACTGTGACGGTCAGACTGACGGTCAGACTGTGACGGTCAGGGACTGTGACGGTCAGAGACTGTGACTGTCAGAGACTGTGACGGTCAGAGACTGTGACGGTCAGTGACTGTGACGGCCAGACTGTGACTGTCAGAGACTGTGACGGTCAGAGACTGTGACGGTCAGAGACTGTGACGGTCAGAGACTTTGACGGTCAGACTGTGACTGTCAGTCAGAGACTGTGACGGTCAGACTGTGACGGTCAGAGACTTTGACTGTCAGAGACTGTGACGGTCAGACTGACGGTCAGACTGTGACGGTCAGAGACTGTGACGGTCAGAGACTGACTGTCAGAGACTGTGACGGTCAGAGACTGTGACGGTCAGTGACTGACGGTCAGACTGTGACGGTCAGACTGTGACTGTCAGACTGTGACGGTCAGAGACTGTGACTGTCAGACTGTGACTGTCAGACTGTGACGGTGTGTGTGTGTGTTCACACAGGGGCCTCAGACACAGGAAGCGTTTTAAGGAAAATACTTTAATATAAAACGTGATAAAAAACATTTTAAGTTTTCATTTTTCAAAAGTTTAAGGCACATAATAAAAGCACATGGTTACCGTGCTGATAATGGTGACCGTGGTTACCATGGCGACAATGGTTATTGTGGTTACTGTGGTCACTGTGGTAACCGTGGTGACAATGGTTATTGTGGTTACTGTGGTAACCGTGATTACCGTGGTGACAATGGCTATTGTGGTTACTGTGGTTACTGTGGTAACCATGGTTACCGTGGTGACAGTTCTGTCTTCATTTTCCGCATTAAATTAAACCTTAAAAGTTACAGATAAAAATGACGACAAAAGTAAAACACTTTTTTTTGTCCATGAGGAACTTCAGCATAATGTGTGACCACTGGGGGCTGGTCCAGACCCGGGCCAGACCTAGTCTTGATTCACTGCCCATTTGCAGTGAGTCTCTCGGCCTCAGGACTCTTGACTTCCTCGGTCTCTGCAGTCTCTGCGTCTGGTCCTCGGTCTGGGCTCTGGTCCGTTCCCTGGTCCGGTCTCCAGGGGAATCCTCGGGTCCGATAAACCAGGATCAGGTCCAAGAGGAAGAAGAGAGAGGCCAGGAACCCAAAGGCCTGCGAAGAAAGACTGGTTCAGTCCGGGTTCAGTCCGGGTTCAGTCCGGGTTCAGTCCTGGTTCAGTCCTGGTTCAGTCCTGGTTCAGACCTGGTTCAGTCCTGGTTCAGTTCGGGTTCAGTTCGGGTTCAGTCCGGGTTCAGTCCGGGTTCATACCGGGTTCAGACCGGGTTCAGTCCGGGTTCAGACCGGGTTCAGACCGGGTTCAGACCGGGTTCAGACCGGGTTCAGTCCGGGTTAAGTCCGGGTTCAGTCCTGGTGACGGTCAGAGACTGTGACGGTCAGAGACTGACTGTCAGACTGTGACGGTCAGAGACTGTGACGGTCAGAGACTGACTGTCAGACTATGACGACACTCACAGAGACTGTGAGTGTCAGAGACTGTGACGGTCAGAGACTGTGACGGTCAGAGACTGTGACGGTCAGACTGACGGTCAGACTGTGACGGTCAGACTGACGGTCAGACTGACGGTCAGAGACTGACGGTCAGACTGACGGTCAGAGACTGACGGTCAGAGACTGTGACTGTCAGACTGTGATGGTCAGAGACTGTGACGGTCAGACTGTGACGGTCAGAGACTGTGACGGTCAGACTGTGACGGTCAGAGACTGACGGTCAGAGACTGTGAAGGTCAGAGACTGTGACGGTCAGACTGTGACGGTCAGAGACTGTGACTGTCAGACTGTGACGGTCAGAGACTGACGGTCAGACTGTGACGGTCAGACTGTGACGGTCAGACTGACTGTCAGACTGTGACGGTCAGACTGTGACGGTGTGTGTGTGTTCACACAGGGGCCTCAGACACAGGAAGCGTTTTAAGGAAAATACTTTAATATAAAACGTAATAAAAAACATTTTCATTTTTCAAAAGTTTAAGGCACATAATAAAAGCACATGGTTACCGTGCTGATAATGGTGACCGTGGTTACCATGGCGACAATGGTTATTGTGGTTACTGTGTTGACAATGGTTATTGTGGTCACTGTGGTAACCGTGGTGACAATGGTTATTGTGGTTACTGTGGTAACCGTGATTACCGTGGTGACAGTTCAGTCTTCATTTTCCGCATTAAATTAAACCTTAAAAGTTACAGAAAAAAATGACGACAAAAGTAAAAAACTTGTTTTTGTCCATGAGGAACTTCAGCATAATGTGTGACCACTGGGGGCTGGTCCAGACCCGGGCCAGACCTAGTCTTGATTTACTGCCCATTTGCAGTGAGTCTCTCGGCCTCAGGACTCTTGACTTCCTCGGTCTCTGCAGTCTCTGCGTCTGGTCCTCGGTCTGAGCTCTGGTCCGTTCCCTGGTCCGGTCTCCAGGGGAATCCTCGGGTCCGATAAACCAGGATCAGGTCCAAGAGGAAGAAGAGAGAGGCCAGGAACCCAAAGGCCTGCGAAGAAAGACTGGTTCAGTCCGGGTTCAGTCCGGGTTCAGTCCTGGTTCAGTCCTGGTTCAGTCCTGGTTCAGTCCTGGTTCAGTCCTGGTTCAGTCCAACACTTTTAACTTTTACAGCATTGAGTCGTGGATTTATGTGAGAGTTAGTATTCAGGTCATGGTCCAGGTGTTCATGGTTCTCCAACTCTCCCCTGGCCCCTCCCCCCGGCCCCTCCCACCTCCCCCCTGGCCCCTCCCACCTCTCCCCTGATCCCTCCCACCTCCCCCCTGGCCCCTCCCTCACCGCGGCGCTCTTCTCCAGACTGGAGCCACCGTTGTCAGTGCTGAAGACGATGGAGGAGACGAGGAAGAGGACGAAGATGCAGCAGGTGTACCAGAAGTCCTGAGGAGGGAGGCGGAGGGGGGGGTCAGATGTTTGTCCACATGGTCTTTGAGGGGTAGGTCACATGTCACACAGGAGAGCTCGGAGTAGAGCCACTATAGTTTGTACAGTTTTTCCAATGTGGTTTTACTGCAAATGGCAAATACATTCTTGAATGTGTGTATTTACACATGTACATATGTGTGTATATGTATGTATACGTGTGTTTGTGTGTGTATGTATATGTGTGTGTGTATATGCATGTATACGTGTGTGTGTGTGTGTATATGTGTATGTGTCTATATGTGTGTGTATACGTGTGTTTGTGTGTATGTATACGTGTTTATGTATATGTATGTATATGTATGTATACGTGTGTGTGTACTCATATATATATATATATATATATATGTGTGTGTATACGTGTGTGTGTGTATATGTATGTATATGTGTGTGTGTATATGTATGTATACGTGTGTTTGTGTGTGTATGTATACGTGTGTGTGTGTATATGTATGTATACGTGTGTGTATGTATACGTGTGTGTGTGTATATGTGTGTGTATACGTGTGTATGTATATGTATGTATACGTGTGTATGTATGTATACTGTATATATATATATGTGTGTGTATATGTATGTATACGTGTGTATGTATGTATACTGTATATATATATATGTGTGTGTATATGTATGTATACGTGTGTGTGTGTACTGTATATATATATGTATACGTGTGTGTGTACTGATATATATATATATGTAAACGTGTGTTTGTGTGTATGAATATGTATGTATACGTGTGTGTGTGTGTGTGTGTACTGTATATATATATATATATATATATTATATATATATGTATACGTGTGTTTGTGTGTGTATGCATACGTGTATGTATATGTATGTATACGTGTGTGTGTACTGTATATATATATATGTGTGTGTATATATATGTATACGTGTGTGTGTATATGTATGTATACGTGTGTTTGTGTGTGTATGTATACGTGTGTTTGTGTGTATGTATACGTGTGTTTGTGTGTGTATGTATATGTATGTATACGTGTGTGTATATGTATGTATACGTGTGTTTGTGTGTGTATGTATACGTGTGTGTGTATATGTATGTATATGTGTGTGTGTGTGTATACGTGTGTTTGTGTGTATGTATACGTGTGTGTGTGTGTATACGTGTGTTTGTGTGTATGTATACGTGTGTATGTATACGTGTGTGTGTGTGTGTACTGTATGTATATATATGTATACGTGTGTTTGTGTGTGTATGTATACGTGTGTATGTATATGTATGTATACGTGTGTGTGTGTACTGTATATATATATATATGTGTGTATACGTGTGTGTGTATATGTATGTATACGTGTGTTTGTGTGTGTTTGTATGTATACGTGTGTTTGTGTGTGTATGTATACGTGTGTGTATATGTATGTATACGTGTGTTTGTGTGGGTGTGTGTGTATGTATACGTGTGTGTGTATGTATACGTGTGTGTGTATATGTATGTATACGTGTGTGTGTGTATATGTGTATATACGTGTGTTTGTGTGTATGTATACGTGTGTTTGTGTGTGTATGTATACGTGTGTGTATATGTATGTATACGTGTGTTTGTGTGTGTGTGTGTGTATGTATACGTGTGTGTATGTATACGTGTGTGTGTATATGTATGTATACGTGTGTGTGTGTATATGTGTATATACGTGTGTTTGTGTGTATGTATACGTGTGTGTGTACTGTATATATATATATATATATATATATATATATATATGTGTGTGTATATGTATGTATATGTATGTATACGTGTGTTTGTGTGTGAATGTATACGTGTGTATGTATATGCATGTATACGTGTGTGTGTACTGTATATATGTATATGTATGTATACGTGTGTATAGTGACAGTGTTTCCGCCAGGAATTTGTTTGAGGGGGGGGGTTCAAGGTCCAATGCCCCAGAAAAAAATAATAATAACCACACACGTTTATTGCAGTAATTTGTTAATACTTTTCACGAGGAGTTAGTGGACATGTGTGCCTTTAATATGAGCGGCCTTTGTGGGAATGATTATATTCAAAGTATTAGAGTAAAATGAGTTTGTAAAACACCTGCGGCGCAGCGACGCGAAGCAGGAGCCGTAGTTCTGAGCGGAGCCAGAGCATAGCCAGAGGTCTCCAGAGATCAGAGAAGTATTTGGTACTGGCTCACTCAGATTCAGAGGAGGAAGACACGCAGGTCTCCAGTGAAGCAGATACAGACATTATTAGTGACAGGAGTCCGCGCCACAATAGTCCACAGTCACCCACAGTTTACGTCCTCCGTGTGGCCACCGCGGTAAAGAGGTCCGGCTTTTCGGAGTCAGCGGTAAAGAGGTCCGCACATTAAAAGCGGATAGCCGCTTTATGCTGTTAATTACAGCAACATTGGAAAGAGAAGACGCGGGGATGAGCCGCCACACAATGCACTTTTTAACATAAAGCGGCCATCCGCTTTTAATGTGCGGACCTCTTTACCGCTGACTCCGAAAAGCCGGACCTCTTTACCGCGGTGTGCGGCCACAGTGGAAACATTCTGCGAACACCAGACAAGAGACGTGGTGAAGGGGACAGGGGGATCATAACACCGGGCATATGGGTGAATGCAGCGGGGTTAAACAACCGCGGGGAACGCGGGAGACGTGGCAGAAGCCACGAAAGAAAACGCACCGCTAATCTGCCTTTACGGACGGAGATGATGATGATGAAGGCAGTTCTTTAGAGAAGAGAATCCATAAAACTGGATCAGAAATGTTGAAGAGCCTGTTGTTTATTGTTGAGACAATCTGACAAGTTCTGAGCCCATTCATTTAATCGCTCTGTTTCTAAACGATGAATTCTGGAGCCTCATTTCCACTGAGATAAACTGTATGCCACCAGGTCTTTTGAAAGGGTAATATTGAAACCAAAGTGCAGATTTCATGACTGGTAAACTATAAGCAGTGCCATCTTGATCATTGAAGGTCTAATGCCATTTTTCCACAGTGTCGGTTCAGTTCATTTCGGTACGGTACGGCGCACCTATTTTGCTTTTCCACTAGTGGATGGAATGGGAGATTTGAGTACTTTTCCGTACTGCCTCAGCCGTGGTTCCATCCCCATAGTTTCCGTGCCATGACGTCACGTCGGCCCACTGCCTTACACTGATTGGTCAACGAGTGTCGTCACTGGAAGCGACATCTGACCCTTTGGGAAAAACAACTCAACCGCCATCTTTAAAACCGGCTGCTCTGCTCGGCTCTGCTTCGGCTACATTACGTCCTCCTCACTCCAGAGAAATGGAATTGCACAGAAAGCCCCAAAAGTCCTGGTCCTGGTTGACTGTGACGATCAGACTGTGACTGTCAGACTGTGACTGTCAGACTGTGACGGTCAGACTGTGACGGTCAGAGACTGACGGTCAGAGACTGTGACGGTCAGACTGTGACGGTCAGAGACTGTGACTGTCAGACTGTGACGGTCAGAGACTGTGACGGTCAGACTGTGACGGTCATACTGTGACTGTCAGACTGTAACGGTCAGAGACTGTGACGGTCAGGGACTGTGACTGTCAGATTGTGACGGTGAGAGACTGTGACGGTCAGAGACTGTGACGGTCAGACTGTGACGGTCAGAGACTGTGACTGTCAGACTGTGACGGTCAGAGACTTTGACGGTCAGACTGTGACTGTCAGACTGTGATGGTCAGAGACTGTAACTGTCAGACTGTGACTGTCAGAGACTGTGACGGTCAGAGACTGTGACGGTCAGAGACTGTGACGGTCAGACTGTGACGGTCAGAGACTGTGACGGTCAGAATGTGACTGTCAGACTGTGACGGTCAGAGACTGTGACGGTCAGAGACTGTGACGGTCAGACTGTGACGGTCAGACTGTGACGGTCAGAGACTGTGACGTTCAGACTGTGATGTTCAGACTGTGACGGTCAGACTGTGACTGTCAGACTGTGACAGTCAGACTGTGACTGTAAGAGACTGTGACGGTCAGACTGTGACGGTCAGAGACTGTGACTGTCAGACTGTTCCGGTCAGACTGTGACTGTCAGACTGTGACGGTCAAAGACTGTGACGGTCAGACTGTGATGGTCAGACTGTGACGGTCAGAGACTGTGATGGTCAGACTGTGACTGTCAGAGACTGTGACGGTCAGAGACTGTGACGGTCAGACTGTGAGTGTCAGAGACTGTGACGGTCAGACTGTGACGGTCAGACTGTGACGGTCACAGACTGTGACGGTCAGAGACTGTGACTGTCAGACTGTGACTGTCAGACTGTGACGGTCAGACTGTGTCGGTCAGAGACTGTGACGGTCAGACTGTGACGGTCAGAGACTGTGACTGTCAGACTGTGACGGTCAGACTGTGACGGTCAGAGACTGTGACTGTCAGACTGTGACTGTCAGACTGTGACGGTCAGAGACTGTGACGGTCAGACTGTGATGGTCAGACTGTGACGGTCAGGGACTGTGACGGTCAGACTGTGACTGTCAGAGACTGTGACGGTCAGAGACTGTGACGGTCAGACTGTGAGTGTTAGAGACTGTGACGGTCAGACTGTGACGGTCAGACTGTGACGGTCAGAGACTGTGACGGTCAGAGACTGTGACTGTCAGACTGTTCCGGTCAGACTGTGACTGTCAGACTGTGACGGTCAAAGACTGTGACGGTCAGACTGTGATGGTCAGACTGTGACGGTCAGAGACTGTGACGGTCAGACTGTGACTGTCAGAGACTGTGACGGTCAGAGACTGTGACGGTCAGACTGTGAGTGTCAGAGACTGTGACGGTCAGACTGTGACGGTCAGACTGTGACGGTCACAGACTGTGACGGTCAGAGACTGTGACTGTCAGACTGTGACTGTCAGACTGTGACGGTCAGACTGTGTCGGTCAGAGACTGTGACGGTCAGACTGTGACGGTCAGAGACTGTGACTGTCAGACTGTGACGGTCAGACTGTGACGGTCAGAGACTGTGACTGTCAGACTGTGACTGTCAGACTGTGACGGTCAGAGACTGTGACGGTCAGACTGTGATGGTCAGACTGTGACGGTCAGGGACTGTGACGGTCAGACTGTGACTGTCAGAGACTGTGACGGTCAGAGACTGTGACGGTCAGACTGTGAGTGTTAGAGACTGTGACGGTCAGACTGTGAAGGTCAGACTGTGACGGTCAGAGACTGTGACTGTAAGACTGTGACGGTCAGACTGTGACGGTCAGACTGTGACGGTCACAGACTGTGACGGTCAGACTGTGACGGTCAGAGACTGTGACGGTCAGAGACTATGACGGTCAGAGACTGTGACGGTCAGAGACTGTGACGGTCAGACTGTGACTGTCAGGGACTGTGACGGTCAGAGACTGTGACGGTCAGACTGTGACGGTCAGAGACTGTGACGGTCAGAGACTGTGACGGTCAGACTGTGACGGTCAGACTGTGACTGTCACGAACTGTGACGGTCAGACTGTGACGGTCAGACTGTGACTGTCAGAGACTGTGACGGTCAGACTGTGACGGTCAGACTGTGACTGTCAGACTGTGACTGTCAGAGACTGTGACGGTCAGAGACTGTGACGGTCATAGACTGTGAGTGTCAGATTGTGACGGTCAGAGACTGTGACTGTCAGATTGTGACGGTCAGAGACTGTGACGGTCAGAGACTGTGACGGTCAGACTGTGACGGTCAGAGACTGTGACTGTCAGAACGTGACGGTCAGAGACTGTGACTGTCAGATTGTGAAGGTCAGAGACTGTGACGTTCAGAGACTGTGACGGTCAGACTGTGACTGTCAGAGACTGTAACTGTCAGACTGTGACTGTCAGAGACTTTGACCGTCAGAGACTGTGACGGTCAGACTGTGACGGTCAGAGACTGTGACTGTCAGACCGGGTTCAGTCCGGCTTCAGTCCGGGTTCAGTCCGGGTTCAGTCCTGGTGACGGTCAGAGACTGTGACGGTCAGAGACTGTGACTGTCTGGGACTGTGACTGTCAGATTGTGAAGGTCAGAGACTGTGACGGTCAGAGACTGTGATGGTCAGACTGTGACGGTCAGAGACTGTAACTGTCAGACTGTGACTGTCAGAGACTGTGACGGTCAGAGACTGTGACGGTCAGACTGTGACGTTCAGAGACTGTGACGGTCAGACTGTGACGGTCAGAGACTGTGACGGTCAGACTTTGAGTGTCAGAGACTGTGACGGTCAGACTGTGACGGTCAGACTGTGACTGTCAGACACTGTGAGTGTCAGAGACTGTGACGGTCAGACTGTGACGGTCAGAGACTGTGACTGTCAGACTGTGATGGTCAGAGACTGTGACGGTCAGACTGTGACGGTCAGACTGTGACGGTCAGACTGTGACGGTCACAGACTGTGACTGTCAGACTGTGACTGTTAGAAACTGTGACGGTCAGAGCCTGTGACGGTCAGACTGTGACGGTCAGAGACTGTGACGGTCAGACTGACGGTCAGACTGTGACGGTCAGACTGTGACGGTCAGAGACTGTGACGGTCAGACTGTGACGGTCAAAGACTGTGACGGTCAGAGACTGTGACGGTCAGACTGTGATGGTCAGACTGTGACTGTCAGACTGTGACGGTCAGAGACTGTGACGGTCAGACTGTGACGGTCAGACTGTGACTGTCAGACTCTGACGGTCAGACTGTGACTGTCAGACTGTGATGGTCACAGACTGTGACTGTCAGACTGTGACGGTCAGAGACTGTGACGGTCAGAGACTTTGACGGTCAGACTGTGACTGTCAGAAACTGTGACGGTCAGAGACTGTGACGGTCAGACTGTGACGGTCAGAGACTGTGACGGTCAGACTGTGACTGTCAGAGACTGTGGCGGTCAGACTGTGACGGTCAGACTGTGACGGTCAGAGACTGTGACGGTCAGAGACTGTTACGGTCAGACTGTGACTGTCAGAGACTGTGACGGTCAGAGACTGTGACGGTCAGAGACTGTGAGTGTCAGAGACTGTGACGGTCAGACTGTGACGGTCAGAGACTGTGACTGTCTGACTGTGACGGTCTGACTGTGACGGTCAGAGACTGTGACGGTCAGACTGTGACGGTCAGAGACTGACGGTCAGAGACTGTGACGGTCAGACTGTGACGGTCAGAGACTGTGACTGTCAGACTGTGACGGTCAGAGACTGTGACGGTCAGACTGTGACGGTCATACTGTGACTGTCAGACTGTGACGGTCAGAGACTGTGACGGTCAGGGACTGTGACTGTCAGATTGTGACGGTCAGAGACTGTGACGGTCAGAGACTGTGACGGTCAGACTGTGACGGTCAGAGACTGTGACTGTCAGACTGTGACGGTCAGAGACTGTGACGGTCAGACTGTGACTGTCAGGGACTGTGACGGTCAGAGACTGTGACGGTCAGACTGTGACGGTCAGAGACTGTGACGGTCAGAGACTGTGACGGTCAGACTGTGACGGTCAGACTGTGACTGTCACGAACTGTGACGGTCAGACTGTGACGGTCAGACTGTGACTGTCAGAGACTGTGACGGTCAGACTGTGACGGTCAGACTGTGACTGTCAGACTGTGACTGTCAGAGACTGTGACGGTCAGAGACTGTGACGGTCATAGACTGTGAGTGTCAGATTGTGACGGTCAGAGACTGTGACTGTCAGATTGTGAGGGTCAGAGACTGTGACGGTCAGAGACTGTGACTGTCAGAACGTGACGGTCAGAGACTGTGACTGTCAGATTGTGAAGGTCAGAGACTGTGACGGTCAGAGACTGTGACGGTCAGACTGTGACTGTCAGAGACTGTAACTGTCAGACTGTGACTGTCAGAGACTTTGACGGTCAGAGACTGTGACGGTCAGACTGTGACGGTCAGAGACTGTGACTGTCAGACCGGTTCAGTCCGGCTTCAGTCCGGGTTCAGTCCGGGTTCAGTCCTGGTAACGGTCAGAGACTGTGACGGTCAGAGACTGTGACGGTCAGAGACTGTGACTGTCAGGGACTGTGACTGTCAGATTGTGAAGGTCAGAGACTGTGACGGTCAGAGACTGTGATGGTCAGACTGTGACGGTCAGAGACTGTAACTGTCAGACTGTGACTGTCAGAGACTGTGACGGTCAGAGACTGTGACGGTCAGACTGTGACGGTCAGAGACTGTGACTGTCAGACTGTGACTGTCAGACTGTGACGGTCAGAGACTGTGACGGTCAGAATGTGACTGTCAGACTGTGACGGTCAGAGACTGTGACGGTCAGAGACTGTGACGGTCAGACTGTGACGGTCAGACTGTGACGGTCAGAGACTGTGACGGTCAGACTGTGACGGTCAGACTGTGACGGTCAGAGACTGTGACGTTCAGACTGTGACGTTCAGACTGTGACGGTCAGACTGTGACTGTCAGACTGTGACGGTCAGACTGTGACTGTAAGAGACTGTGACGGTCAGACTGTGACGGTCAGAGACTGTGACGGTCAGAGACTGTGACTGTCAGACTGTGACGGTCAGACTGTGACTGTCAGACTGTGACGGTCAGAGACTGTGACGGTCAGACTGTGATGGTCAGACTGTGACGGTCAGAGACTGTGACGGTCAGACTGTGACTGTCAGAGACTGTGACGGTCAGAGACTGTGACGGTCAGACTGTGAGTGTCAGAGACTGTGACGGTCAGACTGTGGCGGTCAGACTGTGACGGTCACAGACTGTGACGGTCAGACTGTGACGGTCAGAGACTGTGACTGTCAGACTGTGACTGTCAGACTGTGACGGTCAGACTGTGACTGTCAGAGACTGTGGCGGTCAGACTGTGACGGTCAGACTGTGACGGTCAGACTGTGACGGTCAGAGACTGTGACGGTCAGAGACTGTGACGGTCAGAGACTGTGACGGTCAGACTGTGACTGTCAGAGACTGTGACGGTCAGAGACTGTGACGGTCAGAGACTGTGAGTGTCAGAGACTGTGACGGTCAGACTGTGACGGTCAGAGACTGTGACTGTCAGACTGTGACTGTCAAGACTGTGACGGTCAGAGACTGTGACGGTCAGACTCTGTGTAGACTGTGCGGTCAGAGACTGTGACGGTCAGACTGTGACGGTCAGACTGTGACGGTAGTCGGACTGTGACGGTCAGACTGTGACGGTCAGACTGTGATGTCAGACTGTGACGGTCAGAGACTGTGACGGTCAGACTGTGACTGTCAGAGACTGTCAGTGACGGTCAGAGACTGTGACGGTCAGACTGTGTCAGATGTGAGAGAGACTGTGACGGTCAGAGACTGTGACGGTCAGACTGTGACGGTCAGAGACTGTGACTGTCAGACTGTGACGGTCAGAGACTGTGACGGTCAGACTGTGACGTCACAGACTGTGACGGTCAGACTGTGACGGTCAGAGACTGTGACGGTCAGAGACTGTGACGGTCAGAGACTGTGACGGTCAGAGACTGTGACGGTCAGACTGTGACTGTCAGACTGTGACGGTCAGAGACTGTGACGGTCAGACTGTGACGGTCAGAGACTGTGACGGTCAGAGACTGTGACGGTCAGACTGTGACGTCAGACTGTCAGTCAGTGTGACTGTCACGAACTGTGACGTCAGACTGTGACGGTCAGACTGTGACTGTCAGAGACTGTGACGGTCAGACTGTGACGGTCAGACTGTGACTGTCAGACTGTGACTGTCAGAGACTGTGACGGTCAGAGACTGTGACGGTCATAGACTGTGACTGTCAGACTGTGACGGTCAGAGACTGTGACTGTCAGATTGTGACGGTCAGAGACTGTGACGGTCAGAGACTGTGACGGTCAGACTGTGACGGTCAGAGACTGTGACGGTCAGACTGTGACTGGTCAGAGACTGTGACTGTCAAGACTGTGAAGGTCAGACTGTGACGTTCAGAGACTGTGACGGTCAGACTGTGAGGTCAGAGACTGTGACTGTCAGACTGTGACTGTCAGAGACTTTGACGTCAGAGACTGTGACGGTCAGACTGTGACGGTCAGAGACTGTGACTGTCAGACGGGTTCAGTCCGGTCAGTCGGGTTCAAACGGGTTCAGCTGTGACGGTCATGACTGTGACGGTCAGAGACTGTGACTGTCTGGGACTGTGACTAACATACAAGACTGTGACCTGTCAGACTGTGACGGTCAGAGACTGTAACTGTCAAAGGTGTCCAGACTGTGACAGTTAGACTGTGAGCGGTAATCTGCTTTGCTGACTTTAACCTTAAGTTTTCTGCAAATGTAACAACTTGAAACAATGCGTTTTACAAGCTGTCTCCCTCTCAAAATCCAGTAATGTTCTCTGAGTTGAATCAATGTATCTCGTACACCAGAATGCATCACCTTTTCATGACATGAATGAACCAATAGCTCAGAGTACTTGTGATTTGTTGGTAGTACCCAGGGGTGCTGTTCTTTGAAACTAAAATCAGAGTGCTGTAGTCTTCCCCCAACACTTAGTAGACCATTTTCATCTAAGAATGGTTTCAAGTCCTTGATTTTAGAGTCTCTTTTCACATTTAGTTTTGACTTTAGCTGGGATATTTCAGAGCTAAAACAACGCTCTTGCGTAGCCTTTACCCAGTACATTTCAGCTGCAATCAGCTCTTCTGAGGTTAACTCTCCCTGAACCTTTTGACAAGACCTTGTGTTAGTTACAAAGCGTTTTACCCATGCAGTGATTCTTAACACAGTCTTAAGCCTGCTGTACTTTTCTAAGTTCAACAGAGGTACCGTTTGTTCAGTGCTAGTGAATTGTACAACAGTCTGATACTTAGATTTCAGTTCAGTGTTTACCTCATTCACCACATTGTCATCATCAATGTCCAGCTCCCTTTCAGCTGTGGACAGTGAAGCTGGTCCACTCCACCACAACTGGCTCTCAATAAGACTCTGTGCATGCTGACCTCGTGTAGGTAAGTCAGCAGGATTCATTTTACCAGCACAGTGGGACCACGTCTCCGGGTTTGTGAGCCCTTGTATTTCAGTCACTCTGTTGGCCACAAAAGGCTTCCACGCTGGGCTGAGCTGCGGATCCAGTGAAGAGTGATCATCGAGTCCGTCCACATTTGAAGTTGGCTCTTCTCCATGTTCAGTGGTTTGAGAAGACTGTGTCCTAATCTTGCTCCAATAAGTGCACCCATAAGCTCCAGGCGAGGTAATGTCATTTTCTTTAGGGGTGCGACTCGCGACTTAGAGGCCACAAAGCTTGTAACAGTCTCTCCTTGTTTGTTTTTTCCTTGTAGATATGCCACAGCACTGTAAGCCTTTTCACTTGCGTCACAGTAGACATGCAACTTTACCGTGTGTGACTCTTGCTGGATCTCAATGTGGTACCACCTGGGAATAGCCACCAGGTGGAGCAGTGGTAGCTCCATACACCACTGTTCCCATTTTTCAGTCAAATCAATGGGTAATGGTTCATCCCAACTGAGCCCTCTCTCCCACATTTCTTGGAATAGGCACTTCACTCTGATAGTAAAGGGAGTGAGAAACCCAATGGGGTCAAATATGCGAGCCGATGTTTGTAGAACACTTCTCTTTGTGTTTTCTTTGTCCCGTAAAATGTCAATGAGTCCCTTTTGATCAAACACAAAATCATCTCTCTCTGGTCTCCAAACGAGTCCTAGCACTTTGAGCACATTTCCACAGGACTCTGTATCTCCAGTCAACTCTACTCCAGTCTCTTTCCACATGGCTCTCAGGTCAGGTGAGTTGGTAACCCATTTGCAGAGGTCCATGCCTGCCTGAGAGAGAATGTCTTTTGCTGTTGTTGTCACATGTAGAGCTTCCTGCACAGTAGGTGAGCTTGAAATAAAGTCATCTACATACAGAGAGTCACTGAGGATCTGTACTGCCTTTGGTTGTTCTGTGTCAAATAGTTTGAGGTGTTTTCTGATGGTGGCAGCAAGCAGGAATGGGCTGGGAGCCACTCCGAAAACCACTCTGTTCATTCTCAGGACACATACCTCATTCTTGCAGTCTTTGGTCGGTGGTCCATGCATCCACAGGAACCTAACAGCATCTTTATCCTTTTCTGCGAGGGAAATCTGAAGAAAAGCCTTGGTTATATCAGCAGTGAAGGCAATCTCATGCAACCTGAATGTGATGAGTACTTCTAGCAGGTTTGGGTTTAGATTAGGCCCTGTGTGCAAACAGTCATTGAGGGATGGGCTGTCTGCATCATGTGAGGACGCATCAAATACCACTCTCAGTTTAGTTGTGGCCTTGTCCTCTCTTACAACAGCGTGATGTGGCATGTAATATCTTACAGTCTCTTGGTTCCCTGCCACTGTTTTGTCCTCTAAAACCTCCTCACAGATCCCTTGCTGCAGGTAGTCCTGTATTACGTTGTTGTACCTGGCATACAAGGCTGCATCAGTTTTTAGTTTTCTCATAAGGCTCTCAAAACGTCTCTTTGCTACCTTAAAGTTGTCTGGGAGCTGGTCTTTGTCAGATCGCCATGGTAACTCAACTTGGTAGCGTCCATTTTCTAATGTAGTAGTCTGTTCAAAGCTTTGTAAAATGTCTGAGTCCTCTGGGCTCTCCGCCTGTTTGTTTACAATGCCCAGGGACTCGACCTCCCAGAATGCATGTAACTGTTTGGAAATCTGGGTCTCTTCAGTCAAACTTATGTGCATGCAAGTGGTTTCTGTAACGCTGGAGGTAGTCACTGGCCCCTGTAAAGCCCATCCAAAAATACTCTCAACTGCCACTAGTGAATTTGTGACCTTTTGGACCTTTCCAGTGACTGCTTGCCAGTAGTAGTCTGCTCCTATTAACACCTGCAACTCTTGCTCGTTAGCACCCTCTAGTGGAAAGTCTGCAAGTTGAAGCCCTCTTTTCTTTATCTCTGCTTGAATGGGCTCGCTTGGGACTTTTATCACAGCACTGCACACCTGAGGAGTCTCTACAGCTTCAATCTCAAGTCTCTGTTCAGTGTTCCACATATTCTCGAGCTCAACTCTCACAACATTGCGTTTCTCTGTTACAGGAGAGATGGAACCAAAAACATGGAGATTTAGTGTCTCTTGCCTTACAACTGGGAGTCCTAAGGCTCTGACGACGTTTCTGTGAATGAAACTTCGCTGGCTGCCTCCATCTAATAGACAGCGTGTTATCTTCCTCTCTTTTGGTCCTACAGTCCATGTCTTAACTGTCTGAAGTAGTACTGTGTTCTGAGTATTGGTCTTCACCTTTACAGGGCTCGTCAATGACGACAACACAGCTTCTGTATTTTCACTACTATTGGTAGTGTTAATATCTAGCTTGGCTTCAGACTGCTCACAAACTGACAAGTGGTGTTTCCGGTTGCATAAGCTGCACAAAACCTTTACTCTGCAGTATTTTGCAATGTGTTTTGGGCCTAAGCAGACATAACACCGTCCAAGTTTTCTCAGTTTATCCTTGCGTGCACTTACTGTATGGTCGGAACAGTTCTCTGGTTTGTGGTCGCTACTGTCACAATACACACAGGTCCGGGGCACGGCACTGGCGGTGTGCAAGGCGGTCGCTGACGGGACACTCCACTTTCTGGGTTTATCGCAGGCGTAGGATGGCTTACCCACATTCTTGTGTTGTGGGCTCGGATCCTTCGATGCATGGCCTGGTCTGGTAAGCTGAAGCGCTCGTTCTCTGCTTTGCACCTCATTTTGTAGAAACTGAATCAACTCTGGCACCTTCCATTCGTTGGTCGCGTTTGGTTGGCGGGTGTAGGCGAGTGCGATGTCCTCCGGAATGAGCTGCAGTAGCACTGGACAAAGCAGGCAGCCGTACGTGTCACTCTGGACTCCAAGTGACTCCAAACTGCGTATCTGGATCTCACATTCATCATACAAGTGCCTCAAAGCTGTAACATCAGAAGATCTTTTAACAGGGGTTAAGTTCAGTAGTTTGGACATATGGGCACTTATCACAATGTCCTTTCTCCCAAAGCGGCTCTGGAGTAACTCTATTGCAGCATCGTAGTTGGCATCTGTCATTGTAAGCCCTGCAATAGTTCTAGCAGCTGCTCCAGTCAGGTAGGATCTGAGGTAAGTAAACTTGTCTGTCTTGCATAGTACCTCATTTCTGTGAATAGCTGTTTCATATTGTGACCAGAATTCCTGCCACTGGCTTATTTCACCATCGTACTTTGTTATCATTAGCTTAGGAAGTTTAACAGTTTGTCTGGACTGTGATGTAAATGAACCACTGCTCCCATCGCTCACGCGCACTCTCGGGGTGTCTCTGATGGTGTCCTGATGCCCGATGGTGGTGGTGGCGCGAACCTTCCAAGTGAGAACGCGGTCCATGTAATCCAGTGTGCTTGAAATCTCCGTGTCCAGATCGTCCGTGGGAGTCACATCTTCTATGCCCTTGTCCAAGTCCAATAAACTGTCCTCCTTCGATGATAAAACTGCCAGAAACTCGCGTAGTTTGTCAGTATCTGGTCTTTCCTTCCCCACCTCGTCCTCTAGGCGGGTTAACAGCCTCGTCGTAGCGGCGCGAATAGTCGCCCGCTTCCTTTTCAGCCGCTCGAGTCCCTCCGTCATGACGGCTGCTAAACCGAGCCGTTAGCTGTTCACTTCGTTCGAAAAAGTTCTTAAAGTCCTTACATCCCGGGTTTCGGCACCAAATGATACGTAGATACAGCTTCTATAATCATGACGGAGGCTCGGTAGTTTTACTGAACTTTCTTGTTCAGGTTTATTGAACAAAACACAGCGGCAAGTGACAACTTTTGCTGATTCACATTTTTAGTTAAGATGGTTTCATAAAACTAGAACAGATCCTGTTTTCACCCTTCACAATAAAACACTTCCGTTTCTTCAAATTAAAACCATATGGCACTTTTTTACCGTACCTTGTAATTTGGAAATACGATTATAATTATGTTACAACTAATAATCAATGTTTAATGTCTAGAACTAAATAAGTCACAACAGACCCCAGAGAAACCTGCTAAAATAGATTAGCTCTTGTAAGGATAATACCAATTTGATTAATGATGTACATTCATCCCAAACTGCCTGAGAGGAGGAAGTGACAGCCCTTCCTGGTTCAACAAAATGTATTTAGAAAAATAGAGCAAAACCATAGTATAGAGCGTATTTATTAGATAAAAACATATGTTTCGAATGTGGTTGTGTGTTGTTCGTTTTCCCTGTATTAATTCTTCACAGATATCGAGAGGATGGAATCTCCCCAGTCCTGTCACCCGAGAAGGGTTATTGAAAGATTGTGACCTAAATTGTTATAATATAGGTCAAGAGAGGGAAATGTTGTATTAAATATAGACTAAAAGCAGATGTGAATTTGGCTGACCCTGATTTGAACTCTGTTTTTTTCCTAAGCAAAAAGACCTGGTCTCCCCTTCTTCCCTTGTTAGTCCAAAGTGCAGAATATGAGTTAATGATAGTTAATCTGGGGGGGGCCAAGATCTGCGTTCCTGGATTCTGCTAATCCTTTCGTTGTTTGAAGAAGGAGATGGACCCAGAATCTGGGGGGACAGCCTTGAAGAGTCTCCTGTCTTATCTCAAGGAAGTAATATTTCTATAGAATTAGGGAGGGGTAGTGTGTGAATGATTTCTGTTTAGGTCTGGCGAGACGGAGGAAAGGCCGGACCCTGGACCGGAAGCTGCCTGATACGACACGCCCCCTTCTTCCTGGACATCTGCTGATATGCTCTGGCTTGAGGCGGGGGCTCAGTGAGCACAGGGCCAGAGAGGGACATGGATAGTTTTAGGAGCTCTCTTGTTGAATTTCTGTATCTGATTGTAAGGAAATTAAATACAGATGTTAAACTTGGAGATCTTTTGTCTTACTTCTGCATCAACTCGAACACGTCAGTCAAAGGGAATTTTTGACATCAACGCACACACACACACACACACACAGTACATACACAGACACACACACACACAGTACATACACAGACACGCACACACACACACAGAGTACATAAACAGACACACACACACACAGTACATACACAGACACGCACACACACAGTACATAAACAGACACACACACACACAGTACATAAACAGACACACACATACACACAGTACATACACAGACACACACACACACACACACACACAGTACATACACAGACACGCACACACACAGTACATACACAGACACGCACACACACAGTACATACACAGACACGCACACACACAGTACATACACAGACACGCACACACAGTACATAAACAGACACACACGCACACACAGTACATAAACAGACACACACACGCACACACACAGTACATACACATACACACACACACACACAGTACATACACACACACACACACAGTACATACACACACACATACACCCACACACACAGTACATACACACACACACACAGTACATACACACGCACACACACACAGTACATACACACACACACAGTACATACACACACACACACACAGTACATACACACACACACACAGTACATAAACAGACACACACACACACACACACACAGTACATACACACACACACACAGTACATACACACAGTACGTGCAGACCGGAGTGTGTAGGCCCAGGGAAACGCCCGTGACGTGTGGAGAGGCCTAAAGAACATCTCTGACAGCGGATGGAGAGCAGCACCTGCACCCCCTCTCCACCTGCCCCCCTTCTCCACCTGTCCCCCCTCTCCACCTGCCCCCCCTCTCCACCTGTCCCCCCTCTCCACCTGTCCCCCCTCTCAATCTGCCCCCCCTCCCGCCCCCACCTCTTCACTCGAGGAACCCAGTGGACACTGCCTTTGGCTGCCCCAGGCCCTCCTGCCCTCCTGCCCTCCTGCCCCCACCTCTGACAGTACACCCCGGTCCCCCCCACTCCCCCCTCTCCATCACACCAGACCAGGTGAGGACCAGGTGAGGAGTCAGCTCCAGCGACTGAAGCAGAGGAAATCCGCAGGACCGGACGGGATCAGTCCCAGGCTGCTGAGGACCTGTGCAGACCAGCTCTCTGGGGTCCTCAGCTACATGTACAACCTGAGCCTCAGCCTGGAGAAGGTCCCTGTCCTGTGGAAGACCTCCTGTGTGATCCCGATTCCAAAAACAGCACACGCCAAGGAACCGGCTCACTACAGACCAGTCGCACTGACCTCCCACCTGATGAAGACCATGGAGCACTGACCTTCTGATGAAGACCATGGAGCACTGACCTCCTGATGAAGACCATGGAGCACTGACCTCCTGCAGCGGACGCTCTCCCACCTGGAGCCTGCGGGGGGCGCTGTGAGGGTCATGTTCTTTGACTTCTCCAGTGCTTTCAGCGGACCATCAAATACCTCACTGCATGGACCATCAACTACCTCACTGCATGGACCATCAACTACCTCACTGCATGGACCATGGACTACCTCACTATATGGACCATGGTCTACCTCACTGCATGGACCATGTGAGTCTGAGGTGGTAGTCTGCAGCACTGGGGCCCCTCAGGGCACTGTCCTCTCACCGTTTCTCTTCACCATCTACACCTCTTCACACGACACACACAGCTGCACCAGTAAGACCAAGGAGATGGTACCTGTGCTAACACCAGTAAGACCAAGGAGATGGTACCTGTGCTGACACCAGTAAGACCAAAGAGATGGTACCTGTGCTGACACCAGTAAGACCAAGGAGATGGTACCTGTGCTAACACCAGTAAGACCAAGGAGATGGTACCTGTGCTAACACCAGTAAGACCAAGGAGATGGTACCTGTGCTAACACCAGTAAGACCAAGGAGATGGTACCTGTGCTAACACCAGTAAGACCAAAGTCGCCTCTTCCTTCTGAGGAGGCTGAGGTCCTTCTAAGGAGGCTGAGGTCCTTCTAAGGAGGCTGAGGTCCTTCTAAGGAGGCTGAGGTCCTTCTGAGGGGAGCTGAGGTCCTTCTGAGGGGAGCTGTCAGACTGTACAATAAGTCACTTGCATTAGGACTAAAACCTGTGTAAGGTTAAATAAGGGACAGGGCCGGACCACAGCCCAGGCCCTGGACTATGTAAACATGTGACCAAAAGGGGGGAGACATCCCACTGCTGCTTCAAAGGAACTGCGGAGGTCGACCAGAGGACTTCCATCGATCATGGGGATTACAGGCGTCAAACAGAGCAATAAAATCACCACAGGAGTAAACATCTCTGTCTCTGTTTGCCTGTAGAGATCAAAAGATCACATCTCTGCTCTCACTCCCGGGACATTCCTGTCCCTGGACAATCAACGACTCACCCACGGCGTTATGGCGCCCCCCAGTGGATGCCGGACACTATCACACCCGAGGCGGACACTCGAAACGGACATTCCCCGATGACATTATGTTGATAACCGTTACGGACACTACTCGTATGTGGCGTTGTCTGTGATGTGAATGCACTGTGTATCAGTATATGATTATGAACGATATGAATGTCTGTATTAAAGAAGCTATACCCGATTTTTTTTGTAAGTAGTTCATAAAAATGCTTTTTACTACATACAAGTTGTATCATAATACATAATTTAATTGAAAACTTGAGGTAATTGATTCAGCTGTGTAAGAATTACAAGCAGTGAAAAGTGCTGAGTAGAGTCTGAGCGGGCCGCTCTTTCTCCTCCGCTCACAGAACGAGCAGGAGACCAGCCTGCGTCCTCTAGCCCCTACAGCGCTGCTTAACACCAGGGCTTCGACTTCAAAATTCGAATATCATTCTAAAATAAAAAATGATGAACAAAATAATTGAATAAAAAAATGTGAACAAATATTAGACAACCCTTGTAATTCGAAATGTATTTAATGACTGCAAATAAAATAGTGAGCTCCCAAAGGTTTCACCGGGACGTGCTAGGCAGGTAACAGCTAAGCTAGCTAGCTGTTTCATGGTAACTTCCGGGTTTTTCGCAATCGCTTTTTGTCACTTTGAAACAGTATTTTTGACATGAAAACGTTAACAGCAAATTCTGAAATCGTCCGTGCATGTGTGTTAAGGATGTATATGTGTACTGTATTGTCCGATTGACGTTTAATGGTGTTGATTGATAGATATGTAGTTGTTTATTGAGCGTGGCTAGCTCCGCTAGCTCCGTTGGCTTCTCTACACAGACGAGTGTGTAGTGACAGGCGCTGATAGCTTGTTGTACTTGCAGAGTAATGGCAGTATTTTACACACCTGAATTACAAACAGAGATTGCATTGGGGCTTCGGTCATTATTGGTTTGAGAGTTCTGTTATCAAGAAAAAATGATCGGAAGAATTGCTGCTGCTGCTTTGAGGAGCTCTATAACAAATTATAATTAAATATTAGAATATATTCTAAGGTTTTAAATTAATACATTCGGACGCAAAACTAGCGGTATTCTTTTACTTATATATTGTGTTAGCAGTGCGTTGCTTTAGTGCCATTTCATCAGTGATTGTTGTACAGCTTACAAGAAGTTGTGCTAATGCTAATGTTAGCATATGTATCAGATCGCAAATAAAACTAGATGGCTCTGTGTTATGAGAGCGTAGGGGAAATGAGAAGCCATTGAGCGAGTTGGGGGGCGGTGCTAAACATTCAAACATTGCAGAAACGGGTATAGCGCCTTTAATCCTGTGTTTTGCCAGTATAACATGTCTGTTGTGAAGGATGTCCAGGGAGGCGCGCAAGGACGACGTCACGGACGCGCCCCCTTTTGACCACAACAAAACTAAAGCGCGGACCCACAGACTGCCTCTTGGTTTCCCTTGCAATCATTGTAACAACCATCCCTTTTGGTACGGTCTCTTGCACGGCCTACGCCCGCCACCACCTCGGGCCTGTACATCCACAAGGACAGCATCCATTCCCGCTGTCGGAGACGAGAACTTCCATCACCAGCCACTTTCGGGCTCCCTGGACACCCCACCACAACACTATTCTAGAACGTGTCGTGTGTGGAACCCACGTCTGGACCCGACCTGCTGGCTTCCTCCTGCTCCCCGTTCGGACAAAGAACACGTGGACGAGACCCTCGCTTTTCCCATCTACATTCTTCATTATCATCCTCTCACTGCCCCCCATCGCCATCACCTCTTGTGGACTTCTCAAAGTAAGACTGTTCTTTGTTGGAGTGTGATTTAAATGATATGTATGGCAGTCTTTACTTAATGTGACCAGAAAAACCCTTTTCGTTGATATTTTCTATTTTCATTTTTGTAGTCAATAAACCCACGTTAATTTTAACTCAATCATTTAAGAGTCGTGTTTTTAAATCTCGGATATCCCTGGCCGATTTTCGTACTCAACCCATTAGATTTGTGATACTGGTATCGAGGCAAATATCCCTGGGTCTGTCGTAGACTCCCAAAACGTCTACTGGTGCCCAAAATAAATAAGACAGATCCATTGGTGGAACGGCGAGTTTCTGATCCGGAGACTAGCCGCTCCACACTACTAAATTCTAAGTTACTATACAATTTTTTTGATCCCACATATATAATTACCCTACACCTGCACCACTTTTTATTGAACATATTATTTCCTGCTTTAACATGTTTCTGTTCATGACATTTCTCCATCAGAGACACACAAACACACAGACACACACACACACAGACACACACACACAGACACACACACACACAGACACACACACACACACAGTACATACACACACAGACACACACACCCACACACACCCAAACACACACACACACAGTACATTCACACACATACAGACACACACCCACACACACAGTACATACACACACACAGCACACACACAGAGCACACACACAGACACACACACACAGTACATACGCACACACACAGGTCCCAGGATTGACTCCATCTCCAGACTAGGCCTTTCTGTGTGGGGTTTGAATGTTCTCCCCATGTCAATGTAGGTTTCCTCCAGGTGCTCCGGTTTGCAGTAAAAACGGCCTGAAGGTTTTATTAACGGCAATAGTTTAATTTGAATTGTCTAAAAATGTTGATGCCTGAAGTTCTGATTCAGACCTGGTTCAGACCTGGTTCAGACCTGGTTCAGACCTGGTTCAGACCTGGTTCAGTCCTGGTTCAGACCTGGTTCAGACCTGGTTCAGACCTGGTTCAGACTTGGTTCAGACCTGGTTCAGTCCTGGTTCAGACCTGGTCCAGTCGTGGTTCAGTCCTGGTCCATACCTTGTCCAGGTCAGGATCAGGACTAATTTTATTGTATGTAAATCAGTAAAAGTTTGAATTTCAAATGAGTTTTTTCTGAACGAGTCTCAGTCGGAGCCGAGCGTCGAGCGGTGAGAATCTCTGTCTTTAACTCTGTCTTTAATACAGGCGTAATATAGTTGTAATACAGGCGTAATACAGGTGTAATATAGTTGTAATACAGGCGTAATACAGGTGTAATGTGAGGTCTGTGACACAGGTGTAATGTGAGGACACAGGTGTAATGTGAGGACAGAGGTGTAATGTGAGGACAGAGGTGTAATGTGAGGTCTGTGACACAGGTGTAATGTGAGGTCTGTAACACAGGTGTAATGTGAGGTCTGTAACACAGGTGTAATGTGAGGTCTGTGACACAGGTGTAATGTGAAGTCTGTGACACAGGTGTAATGTGAGGTTTGTAACACAGGTGTAATGTGAGGTCTGTAACACAGGTGTAATGTGAGGTCCGTAACACAGGTGTAATGTGAGGTCTGTGACACAGGTGTAATGTGAGGTCTGTGACACAGGTGTAATGTGAGGTGTGTAACACAGGTGTAATGTGAGGTCTGTAACACAGGTGGAATGTGAGGTCTGTGACACAGGTGTAATGTGAGGTCTGTAACACAGGTGTAATGTGAGGTCTGTAACACAGGTGTAATGTGAGGTCTGTGACACAGGTGTAATGTGAGGTCTGTGACACAGGTGTAATGTGAGGTCTGTAACACAGGTGGAATTTGAGGTTTGTAACACAGGTGTAATGTGAGGTCTGTAACACAGGTGGAATGTGAGGTCTGTGACACAGGTGTAATGTGAGGTCTGTGACACAGGTGTAATGTGAGGTCTGTGACACAGGTGTAATGTGAGGTCTGTGACACAGGTGTAATGTGAGGTCTGTAACACAGGTGTAATGTGAGGTTTGTAACACAGGTGTAATGTGAGGTCTGTGACACAGGTGTAATGTGAGGTCTCTGACACAGGTGTAATGTGAGGTCTGTGACACAGGTGTAATGTGAGGTCTGTAACACAGGTGTAATGTGAGGTCTGTAACACAGGTGTAATGTGAGGTCTGTGACACAGGTGTAATTTGAGGTCTGTAACACAGGTGTAATGTGAGGTTTGTAACACAGGTGTAATGTGAGGTCTGTAACACAGGTGTAATGTGAGGTCTGTGACACAGGTGTAATTTGAGGTCTGTAACACAGGTGTAATATGAGGTCTGTAACACAGGTGTAATGTGAGGTCTAAAACACAGGTGTAATGTGAGGTCTGTAACACAAGTGTAATGTGAGGTCTGTGACACAGGTGTAATGTGAGGTCAGTAACACAGGTGTAATGTGAGGTCACTAAGACAGGTGTAATGTGAGGTCTGTAACACAGGTGTAATATGAGGTCTGTGACACAGGTGTAATGTGAGGTCTGTAACACAGGTGTAATGTGAGGTCTGTAACACAGGTGTAATGTGAGGTCTGTAACACAGGTGTAATGTGAGGTCTGTAACACAGGTGTAATGTGAGGTCTGTAACACAGGTGTAATGTGAGGTCTGTAACACAGGTGTAATGTGAGGTCTGTAACACAGGTGTAATTGAGGTCTGTAACACATGGTGTAATGTGAGGTCTGTAACACAGGTGTAATGTGAGGTCAGTAACACAGGTGTAATGTGAGGTCAGTAACACAGGTGTAATGTGAGGTCTGTAACACAGGTGTAATATGAGGTCTGTGACACAGGTGTAATGTGAGGTCTGTAACACAGGTGTAATGTGAGGTCTGTAACACAGGTGCAATGTGAGGTCTGTAACACAGGTGTAATATGAGGTCTATAACACAGGTGTAATGTGAGGTCTGTAACACAAGTGTAATGTGAGGTCTGTAACATAGTTGTAATGTGAGGTCAGTAACACAAGTGTAATATGAGGTCTGTAACACATGGTGTAATGTGAGGTCTGTAACATAGGTGTAATGTGAGGTCAGTAACACAGGTGTAATGTGAGGTCTATAACACAGGTGTAATGTGAGGTCTGTAACACAAGTGTAATGTGAGGTCAGTAACACAGGTGTAATGTGAGGTCAGTAACACAGGTGTAATGTGAGGTCAGTAACACAGGGGTAATGTGAGGTCTGTAACACAGGTATAATGTGAGGTCAGTAACACAGGTGAAATGTGAGGTCTGTAACACAGGTGTAATGTGAGGTCAGTAACACAGGTGTAATGTGAGGTCAATAACACAGGTGTAATATGAGGTCTGTAACACATGGTGTAATGTGAGGTCTATAACACAGGTGTAATGTGAAGTCTGTAACACAAGTGTTGTGTGAGGTCTGTAACACAGGTGTAATGTGAGGTCTATAACACAAGTGTAATGTGAGGTCTGTAACACAAGTGTAATGTGAGGTCTGTAACACAAGTGTAATGTGAGGTCTGTGACACAGGTGTAATGTGAGGTCTGTAACACAAGTGTAATGTGAGGTCTGTAACACAGGTGTAATGTGAGGTCTGTAACACAGGTGTAATGTGAGGTCTGTAACACAAGTGTAATGTGAGGTCTGTAACACAGGTGTAATGTGAGATCTGTGACACAGGTGTAATGTGAGGTCTGTAACACAGGTGTAATGTGAGGTCTGTAGCACAAGTGTAATGTGAGGTCTGTAACACAGGTGTAATGTGAGATCTGTGACACAGGTGTAATGTGAGGTCTGTAACACAGGTGTAATGTGAGGTCTGTAGCACAAGTGTAATGTGAGGTCAGTAACACAGGTGTAATGTGAGATCTGTAACATAGGTACAATGTGAGGTCTGTAACACAGGTGTAATGTGAGGTCTGACTCTCTGGTTCTCACTTACACCTGACTTCTCCCTTCACAGAACACTCAGCTCAGAACAGGTCCCACTCCTCTTCATCTTCATCCTCTTCATCATCTTCATCATGCTGCTGCTCCTGCTCTTCATCGCATCAGGTAAACTGTTGAGACTTTAACATCATGTTGGAAACTGTGTGTTTGAGTAAATGTGTCACCGACAAGCCCCATGATCCAAGATGGCGTCCTGTCCAAATTAATGGTTTGATCCAAGATGGTGTCCTGTTCAAATGAATGGTTTGATCCAAGATGGCGTCCTGTTCAAATGAATGGTTTGATCCAAGATGGCGTCCTGTTCAAATGAATGGTTTGATCCAAGATGGCGTCCTGTTCAAATGAATGGTTTGATCCAAGATGGCGTCCTGTTCAAATGAATGGTTTGATCCAAAATGGCGTCCTGTTCAAATGAATGGCTTGTGCTCAGTAGCGCATGGGACCATTCCTTTAGTGATAACACAAAGAATACATAACAGAAAAACATCTGAAGTTAATCAGTCTAATCAGGAAAATCTAATTCTTGTTCCGTGTAAGAATCAGCAGACTACAACCGCTGATCCTGAAACTTTGAAACTTGCTATGCTAAATGTCAGATCTCTTTGTAACAAGTCTTTTTTAATCAATAATTTTATTTGTTCTTATAATCTAGATCTTATGTTCATGGCTGAAACATGGCTTGACCAAAATACAGAAAATGCAGTTTTAATAGAAGCATCACCACCAAATTTCAAATTTGAATCTGAAATACGGGAAAACGAAAAAGGAGGAGGCTTAGCTGCCATTTTTAGAGACCACTTTGTCTCCCATAGAATGTCTCTTGGGAAGTTTCTGTCTTTTGAATATGTGTCTTTTAAAATACAACAAAAACAATCTCCTCCAATACTTTTCGTTGTCCTATACAAGCCACCGCAGTCATGTCACAGTTTTATTGATAATTTTACAGAGTTGCTTTCAGTTGTATGCACAGATTTTGAAAGCTTAGTTATTACAGGGGATTTTAACATTCATGTGGATAATGTTAATGACAGAAATGCCAAAGAGCTGAGTTCTGTTCTTGAATCTTTTGGTCTCACTCAGCATGTGAGTGGCCCCACCCACAACAGAGGGCACACTCTAGACCTGTTAGTTACAAAGGGGGGGAACATTTCTAATGTAAACGTGGTCGATGTTTTTCTGAAATGATTGAAGGCTGCAGCAACAATCTGCGTGTTCTGTTTTCAACAGTTAATAGATTAACAAACCCCCCTGTTCAGATGCCATTAGAGCTTACTTCCAAATGTAAATGTAATGAGTTTGCACATTTTTTCAATGACAAGGTTCAAGGCATCAAAAACGCCATTGTCTCCAATCCACAGATAACCATCCAACAACCAGAAAGGCTCTTTGAGCTAACTCACTTTGCACCTGTAAATGATCAAACTGTCCAAGAGATAATCTCCAGTTTGAGCTCCTCCACATGCAGCCTGGATGTACTACCCACTAGATGTCTAAAGTCTGTTCTGAGCAGTCTGTTACCTTCACTCACACAGATAGTAAACATGTCCCTTAATTCTGGAATATTCCCAAAGGCCCTGAAAACTGCAGTCATCAGGCCCCTGCTAAAAAAGAGCAGTCTGGATGCTACGGTACTTAAAGTGGTTCTCACCCCCGCTCCTCGGAGCTTACGTCACTCACATTTCCTGTTCAAATCTTCCTCTAAATGGGCGTAGCCTGGAGGACTGAAGGGGGCGTGAACGAGACTGGGCCGTTTACATTGCTCTGGGCGGGGGGCTGCTGACGTCAGGTCCAACTTGCAGACGTCAGGTCCAACTTCTGTGCCAGTGTTGGCGCCAGATTCAAAATTCAAATGTAGTAATACAGGTCGCCAGCAGATGGCGCCTCACAGACGGTTTTAGGCAGAAAGTTTAACTTTCAACTAGTTTGCACCAAAGTGACAAGATTATGACCAGGATATGTAGACAACACTATTGGACACTCATTTATACCGTTTATCAGCAAAAAAAAGTGGATTTGAGGGTGAGTTGTCCTTTAACAACTATCGTCCCATCTCAAATCTGCCATTTATGGGGAAAGTCCTTGAAAAAGTTGTCTACCAACAGCTAAATAGATTTCTTATAATCAACAACTCATTTGATATGTTTCAGTCCGGCTTTAGACCCCACCACAGCACTGAGACTGCTCTCGTCAAGGTTACAAATGATATCCGGCTGAACACTGACGCAGGCAAAGTCTCAATCTTAATCTTGTTAGATCTGAGTGCTGCCTTTGACACTGTCGACCATGAGATCCTCTTACAGAGACTAGAGGACTGGGTTGGCGTCGCTGGCACCGCCCTAAGTTGGTTTAGGTCTATCCTTGAAGACAGGAAGTACTTTGTGGAGATTGGAAACTGTGTCTCAGATCATATGGCCCTGACCTGTGGAGTCCCACAGGGGTCGATCCTGGGACCTCTTCTGTTCAATCTCTACATGCTGCCGGTTAGGTCAGTTAATACGCAGAAACAAAGTGTCCTATCACAACTATGCAGACGACACTCAGATCTATGTCTCACTGACTGCAGGAGAACACGGACCAGTGGACTCACTCCTTCACTGTATCCAACAGATCAGTGAGTGGATGCAAAACAACTTCCTTCAGCTAAACGCAGACAAAACTGAAATGATTGTCTTTGGTCCCCAGAAACAAAGAGAGAGCGTCATCTGTCACCTACAGTCTCTCTCCCTAAAACCTTCAAACAAGGTCAGAAATCTAGGGGTAATACTGGACTCAGACTTAAATTTTAATAGCCACATCAAATCAGTAACATCAGCAGCTTTTTACCATCTAAAAAACATTGCCAGGATCAAAAACATAGTGTCTAAAGCAGACTTGGAGATTCTTATCCATGCATTTGTCTCCAGTAGGTTAGACTACTGCAATGGCCTGCTCACAGGTCTGTCCAAACAGGCTGTAAAACAGCTGCAGTACATTCAAAATGCAGCAGCTCGAGTCCTGACTAAAACCAGGAAGTACGACCATATTAGTCCGGTCCTCAGGTCTCTGCACTGGCTTCCTGTGGCTCAGAGAATAGACTTTAAAACAGCTCTGCTTGTGTACAAGTCTCTCCATAGCCTCGCACCAAAATATATTAGTGACAGGTTAGTCCCATATGAACCTGCCCGGACTCTGAGGAGCACAGGGACTGGACTCCTGCTGGGACTCTGAGGAGCACAGGGACTGGACTCCTGCTGGGACTCTGAGGAGCACAGGGACTGGACTCCTGCTGGGACTCTGAGGAGCACAGGGACTGGACTCCTGTTAGTGCCCAGAGTCAGAACTAAACATGGGGAGGCTGCTTTTCAGATTCATGCTGCTAAAATCTGGAACAATCTTCCTGAAGATGTGAGACAGGCCTCCTCTCTGACAATGTTTAAAACCAAGTTAAAAACGGTGCTGTTTAGCTGTGCATACAACTGAGGGATTTTATATTTTTATCTTTCGTTTTGATGTTCTGTGATTATTTATGATTTTAATGCTATCTTGTTCAGCACTTTGAGTTGCCTTGTGTATGAATTGTGCTATACAAATAAACTTTGCCTTGCCTTGGGACTTCACCGGCGCTGACATATTAGCAGATTTGTCCCATATTTGGGCATTGTCTGGTCCTCCCGGTTCTGTGCAGTGGATGAGCTCCCATGATGCTTTGCACCAAATACATGTGTGGCTCTCATGCACGTGTACAGAGGGGCTCGGCCGTTCTCTGACCAATTAGAGGACAGCGTTCTGACCAATCAGAGGGCAGCGCTTTGACCAATCAGAGGACAGCGTTCTGACCAATCAGAGCTGATCAGAGCGGGAAGGAAACGAGCAGAGGTGGTGGCAGTAAAGTGTGGATTTAAAGAAGAAAAAAATATCATCGCAAAATATGATATTTCTGAAAGCTGCAGGTTCTCTGTCAGGTTCTCTGTCAGGTTCTCTGTAGGTTCTCTGTCAAGTTCTCTGCAGGTTCTCTGTCAGGTTCTCTGTAGGTTCTCTGTCAGGTTCTCTGCAGGTTCTCTGTAGGTTCTCTGTCAGGTTCTCTGTAGGTTCTCTGTCAAGTTCTCTGCAGGTTCTCTGTCAGGTTCTCTGTAGGTTCTCTGTCAGGTTCTCTGCAGGTTCTCTGTAGGTTCTCTGTCAGGTTCTCTGCAGGTTCTCTGTCAGGTTCTCTGTAGGTTCTCTGTAGGTTCTCTGTCAGGTTCGCTGTAGGTTCTCTATCAGGTTCTCTGTCAGGTTCTCTGCAGGTTCTCTGTCAGGTTCTCTGTAGGTTCTACGTCAGGTTCTCTGTAGGTTCTCTGTAGGTTCTCTGTAGGTTCTCTGTCAGCTGAGGTCAATCTGTTTGAGTTTACATTGAGTTCTATGCATAGACTGTAAATATTAATGGACAGAGTCAGTATCTCCGCTGTTCTAACTAATGGGTCAAAAAAATGTGCTCTACTGGAGCTATCCAAAATGGCCGCGAGTGGTCCCGCCCACAAGAAAATTGTGAAAAAACGCATCTGCGCATGCATCAGCCGGAGCAGCTCCATTCATTTGAACGAGAGACTTCAAAAATTCCCCGCGAGTAAACTAGAGTGGACCAAAACACCCCCCTCAGCATTGACACACATGTGGAACGGATCTTTGGGCCAAGAGCCAACTTTTGGTCCATCCTGTAAAGACGTTTTCGAAAGGTCTGCCAATGCTATATGTTAGCATTGGCTAATTCTTCTTCTGGGTCCACCCCCACAGGCCCGGGGTGGTATTGCAGCATGTCAGCGCACGTCATTTTGGCCACGTCTGAGCTGGGACCCGCCCCCACTGGTTCTACGGGACTTATTTATGAGTAGCCCACATGAAGTTAGTCTGCAGTACCACAGCGCCCCCTGTGGCCATAGGTGGGACAGCTGTAAGCTATTAATACACTATCCAGATATTAATATAGAGCCATTGTCACAAACTGTACACACCCGCTAGCTCATTGCTAACCCGCTAGCTCAATGCTAACCCGCTAGATCAATACTAATCTGCTAGCTCATTGCTAACCCGCTACCTCCTTGCTAACCCGCTAGATCAATGCTAATCTGCTAGCTCAATGAAGCCCACTAGAGAAGTGCTAATGATGAAGTTTTCCAAGGACACTGGTCAATATTCTGAAGCTCGAATGAAGACGTGGGGAGACTGGGATTAGAACCTCTGAGGGCCTCACTGACCTGTTCTAATCCCAGTGTCTCCAGAGACAGGAGTCTCCTCTGAGGGCCTCACTGACCTGTTCTAATCCCAGTGTCTCCAGAGGCAGGAGTCTCCTCTGAGGGCCTCACTGACCTGTTCTAATCCCAGTGTCTCCAGAGGCAGGAGTCTCCTCTGAGGGCCTCACTGACCTGTTCTAATCCCAGTGTCTCCAGAGGCAGGAGTCTCCTCTGAGGGCCTCACTGACCTGTTCTAATCCCAGTGTCTCCAGAGGCAGGAGTCTCCTCTGAGGGCCTCACTGACCTGTTCTAATCCCAGTGTCTCCAGAGGCAGGAGTAGAAGCGGCAGGAGGCTCCTCTGAAGACCTCACTGTGGGCAGAAAGTTTCTGGTGGTTTTCTTGGAGAACATTGCGTACTATCATCCCACACCAGCAACGAACAAAATACAAATCCTGGCAGTACGTGAAAACACACAGGTGAGACACACACACACAACCACACACAACCACGCACACACATAACCCCACACACACTCGTACACACACACACACACTCAACCACACACACATACACAAAACCACAACCACACACACCCACACACACTTGCACAACCAACTATTCTCTCCTCACCGAGTTAGCTTGTTAGCCTGTTAGCTTCTGGAGGTCTAAACAAGCCCCAGTGGTCCAAGATGGCGTCCTATTCGAATGAATGGCCTGTGCTCGGTGGCTCATGGGACTTCACGGAGACCGGCAGATTAGCTGAACTTGCCCATATTTGGGCATCGTCTGGTCCTCCCGGTTCTGTGCAGTGGAGGAGCTCCCATGATGCTTTGCTTCTCTGTCAGGTTCTCTGTCAGCTGAGGTCGAGCTGTTTTAATATACATTGAGTTCTATGCGACTTTTTTGGGTAGCCCTCCTGAATTTAGTCTGCAGTTCCACAGCGCCCCCTGTGGCCGTGGGTTGGACAGCTATAAGCTAGTATTACACTATCCAGTTATTTTTATAGATCCATGGGTCTGACTGGTCTCCTGTTTCTGAGTTAGCTTGTTAGCCTGTTAGCTGCTGGAGGTCTGACTGGTCTCCTGTCTCTGAGTTAGCTTGTTAGCTTGTTAGCATGTTAGCATGTTACCTGCTGGAGGTCTGACTGGTCTCCTGTCCCCAGGTCATAGTGACGTACCCAGATGGTACACCAGAGAACCGCTCCACGCTGACACCTGGTGTCCCTCAGACGTTCTCGGTCCCGTCTCAGCTGGAGCTGGACAGGAGTGAGACTTCGACCCGAGTTGTGTCCGTCAACGCGACCGAAGACGTGAGCGTAAAGGTCCTGAACCAGAGGAGCAACAGCTTCCAGACAACACTGGCACTGCCCACAGACCAGCTGGGCACCTCCTACCAGGTGGGCACTTCCTACCAGGTGGGCACTTCCTACCAGGTGGACACCTCCTACCAGGTGGGCACTTCCTACCATGTTGGCACCTCCTACCAGGTGGGTACTTCCTACCAGGTGGACACCTCCTACCATGTTGGCACCTCCTACCAGGTGGGTACTTCCTACCAGGTGGACACCTCCTACCAGGTGGGCGGCCCCTCCTACCAGGTGGGCACTTCCTACCAGGCGGTCACCTCCTACCAGGTGGGCACTTCCTACCAGGTGGACACCTCCTACCAGGTGGGCACTTCCTAACAGGTGGGCACCTCCTACCAGGTGGGCACTTCCTATCAGGTGGGCACCTTTCTACCAGGTGGGTACTTCCTACCAGGCGGGCACCTCCTACCAGGTGGGCACCTCCTATCAGCTGGGCACCACCTACCAGGTGGGCATTAGTAAATAAACTACTACTTCTACTAGTATACCAGCTGGTGAAGAGAAAATTAGAGTTTAAACTTATAATTCCTGGTCTTGATGGTCCTGGTCTTGATGGCCCTGATCTTCATGGTCCTGGTCTTGATGGTCCTGGTCTTCATGGTCCTGGTTCTCAGGGTCCTGATCTTCATGGTCCTGGTCTTGATGGTCCTGGTCTGGATGGTCCTGGTCTTCATGGCCCTGGTCTTGATGGTCCTGGTATTAATGGTCCTGGTCTTGATGGTCCTGGTCTTCATGGTCCTGGTCCTGATGGTCCTGGCCTTCATGGTCCTGGTCTTGATGGTCCTGGTCTTCATGGTCCTAGTCTTGATGGTCCTGTCTTCATGGTCCTGTTCCCCCAGATCCCCCCGGTGCCTGGTATCCAGATGACCACGATTCCTGAGGAGGAAGTGACGAACCAGGTGACGGAGCGGAGCCAGTTCAGACTGGTTCTGGTGAACGCTGGAGACCAGGACACACAGGTGAATCTGAAGGACCGCGACTACACCCTCGCCCCAGGGCAGGTGCGGCAGCTGTCGGTGGAGCAGAACATGACGGGAACAGAGATCACCGGAGACAAGCCCTTCATGGTCCTGTTCGGCCACCCCTGCGCCATCCAGGTGAGGCCACGCCCCCAACAGGTGAGGCCACGCCCCAACAGGTGAGTCCACGCCCCCCAACAGGTGAGGCCACGCCCCCAACAGGTGAAACCACTCCTTTCTCTCCTAATCTCGTGTCCTCTTTCTCCCCTTTCTGTTTCTTTCTGTGTCCTCTCCGGTCTCCAATCTCCTCACCTCCTTTCTCCTCCTCTCTCCTCTCCTCCTCTCTCCTCACCTCCTCTCTCCTCACCTCCTCTCTCCTCACCTCCTTTCTCCTCCTCTCTCCTCTCCTCCTCTCTCCTCACCTCCTTTCTCCTCCTCTCTCCTCTCCTCCTCTCTCCTCTCCTCCTCTCTCCTCACCTCCTCTCTCCTCACCTCCTCCCTCCTCCTCTCTGCAGGTAAACTGTACGTGTGGATTGCTGTACGCTCCTCTCCGTCCCAAAGCCACAGCTGCCCTGAACTACATTCTGCCGCCTCCGCTGCTGACAGGAGCCGAGGGGCAGAGTGTCCTCCTCAAGCCCTCTAGTGGTAACAGCGAGGAGGTGTCCGGGTAAGGGCCTCTTCCAAACACAGCTGTAGTACCTCCTCCAAACACAGCTGTAGCACCCTTCAAACACACCTGTAGCACCTCCTCCAAACATAGCTGTAGCACCTCCTCCAAACAGCTGTAGCACCTCCTCCAAACACACCTGTAGCACCTCCTCCAAACACAGCTGTAGCACCTCCTCCAAACACAGCTGTAGCACCTCCTCCAAACACAGCTGTAGCACCTCCTCCAAACACAGCTGTATCACCTCCTCCAAACATAGCTGTAGCACCTCCTCCAAACACAGCTGTAGCACCTCCTCCAAACACAGCTGTAGGGCCTCCTCCTCTGTGTTGCCAGGTCCTCAGTCTCCTCCTGTGTTTTGCCAGGTCCTCAGTCTCCTCCTCTGTGTTGCCAGGTTCTCAGTCTCCTCCTCTGTGTTGCCAGGTTCTCAGTCTCCTCCTCTGTGTTGCCAGGTCCTCAGTCTCCTCCTGTGTGTTGCCAGGTCCTCAGTCTCCTCCTCTGTGTTGCCAGGTCCTTAGTCTCCTCCTGTGTGTTGCCAGGTCCTCAGTCTCCTCCTCTGTGTTGCCAGGTCCTCAGTCTCTTCCTGTGTGTTGCCAGGTCATCAGTCTCCTCTGTGTTGCCAGGTCCTCAGTCTCCTCTGTGTTGCCAGGTCCTCAGTCTCCTCCTCTGTGTTGCCAGGTCCTCAGTCTCCTCCTCTGTGTTGCCAGGTCCCCAGTCTCCTCCTGTGTGTTGCCAGGTCCTCAGTCTCCTCTGTGTTGCCAGGTTCTCAGTCTCCTCTGTGTTGCCAGGTTCTCAGTCTCCTCCTCTGTGGTTGCCAGGTCCCCAGTCTCCTCCTGTGTGTTGCCAGGTCCTCAGTCTCCTCTGTGTTGCCAGGTCCTCAGTCTCCTCCTCTGTGTTGCCAGGTTCTCAGTGTCCTCCTCTGTGTTGCCAGGTCCTCAGTCTCCTCCTCTGTGTTGCCAGGTCCTCAGTCTCCTCCTGTGTGTTGCCAGGTCATCAGTCTCCTCCTCTGTGTTGCCAGGTCCTCAGTCTCCTCCTCTGTGTTGCCAGGTCCTCAGTCTCCTCCTCTGTGTTGCCAGGTCCTCAGTCTCCTCTGTGTTGCCAGGTCCTCAGTCTCCTCTGTGTTGCCAGGTCCTCAGTCTCCTCTGTGTTGCCAGGTCCTCAGTCTCCTCTGTGTTGCCAGGTCCTCAGTCTCCTCCTCTGTGTTGCCAGGTCCTCAGTCTCCTCTGTGTTGCCAGGTCCTCAGTCTCCTCTGTGTTGCCAGGTCCTCAGTCTCCTCTGTGTTGCCAGGTCCTCAGTCTCCTCTGTGTTGCCAGGTCCTCAGTCTCCTCCTGTGTGTTGCCAGGTCCTCAGTCTCCTCCTCTGTGTTGCCAGGTCCTCAGTCTCCTCCTCTGTGTTGCCAGGTTCTCAGTCTCCTCCCTCTGTGTTGCCAGGTTCTCAGTGTCCTCCTCTGTGTTGCCAGGTCCTCAGTCTCCTCCTGTGTGTTGCCAGGTTCTCAGTCTCCTCCTCTGTGTTGCCAGGTTCTCAGTCTCCTCTGTGTTGCCAGGTCCTCAGTCTCCTCCTCTGTGTTGCCAGGTTCTCAGTCTCCTCCTCTGTGTTGCCAGGTTCTCAGTCTCCTCCTCTGTGTTGCCAGGTCCTCAGTCTCCTCTGTGTTGCCAGGTCCTCAGTCTCCTCCTCTGTGTTGCCAGGTCCTCAGTCTCCTCCTCTGTGTTGCCAGGTCCTCAGTCTCCTCCTCTGTGTTGCCAGGTTCTCAGTCTCCTCCTCTGTGTTGCCAGGTTCTCAGTCTCCTCTGTGTTGCCAGGTCCTCAGTCTCCTCCTCTGTGTTGCCAGGTTCTCAGTCTCCTCCTCTGTGTTGCCAGGTCCTCAGTCTCCTCCTCTGTGTTGCCAGGTCCTCAGTCTCCTCTGTGTTGCCAGGTTCTCAGTCTCCTCTGTGTTGCCAGGTCCTCAGTCTCCTCCTCTGTGTTGCCAGGTCCTCAGTCTCCTCCTCTGTGTTGCCAGGTCCTCAGTCTCCTCCTCTGTGTTGCCAGGTCCTCAGTCTCCTCCTCTGTGTTGCCAGGTCCCCAGTCTCCTCCTGTGTGTTGCCAGGTCCTCAGTCTCCTCTGTGTTGCCAGGTCCTCAGTCTCCTCTGTGTTGCCAGGTCCTCAGTCTCCTCCTCTGTATTGCCAGGTCCTCAGTCTCCTCCTGTGTGTTGCCAGGTCCTCAGTCTCCTCCTCTGTGTTGCCAGGTCCTCAGTCTCCTCCTCTGTGTTGCCAGGTCCTCAGTCTCCTCCTCTGTGTTGCCAGGTCCTCAGTCTCCTCTGTGTTGCCAGGTCCTCAGTCTCCTCTGTGTTGCCAGGTCCTCAGTCTCCTCTGTGTTGCCAGGTCCTCAGTCTCCTCCTGTGTGTTGCCAGGTCCTCAGTCTCCTCCTCTGTGTTGCCAGGTCCTCAGTCTCCTCCTCTGTGTTGCCAGGTTCTCAGTCTCCTCCTCTGTGTTGCCAGGTTCTCAGTGTCCTCCTCTGTGTTGCCAGGTCCTCAGTCTCCTCCTCTGTGTTGCCAGGTCCTCAGTCTCCTCCTGTGTGTTGCCAGGTTCTCAGTCTCCTCCTCTGTGTTGCCAGGTTCTCAGTCTCCTCTGTGTTGCCAGGTCCTCAGTCTCCTCCTCTGTGTTGCCAGGTTCTCAGTCTCCTCCTCTGTGTTGCCAGGTTCTCAGTCTCCTCCTCTGTGTTGCCAGGTCCTCAGTCTCCTCTGTGTTGCCAGGTCCTCAGTCTCCTCCTCTGTGTTGCCAGGTCCTCAGTCTCCTCCTCTGTGTTGCCAGGTCCTCAGTCTCCTCCTCTGTGTTGCCAGGTTCTCAGTCTCCTCCTCTGTGTTGCCAGGTCCTCAGTCTCCTCTGTGTTGCCAGGTCCTCAGTCTCCTCCTCTGTGTTGCCAGGTTCTCAGTCTCCTCCTCTGTGTTGCCAGGTTCTCAGTCTCCTCTGTGTTGCCAGGTCCTCAGTCTCCTCCTCTGTGTTGCCAGGTTCTCAGTCTCCTCCTCTGTGTTGCCAGGTCCTCAGTCTCCTCCTCTGTGTTGCCAGGTCCTCAGTCTCCTCTGTGTTGCCAGGTTCTCAGTCTCCTCTGTGTTGCCAGGTCCTCAGTCTCCTCTGTGTTGCCAGGTCCTCAGTCTCCTCCTCTGTGTTGCCAGGTCCTCAGTCTCCTCCTCTGTGTTGCCAGGTCCTCAGTCTCCTCCTCTGTGTTGCCAGGTCCATGGTCTTCTCGGACCCGGGCCCTGTGCTGCTGCAGAGACCGGGTCTGCTCCTGAACTTGGTCCCTAAAGAGGACTTTGGATCGTGTTTCTCTGTGGTTTCTGTGACTGGGACTAGTAGCTGGGCCGTGGTCCTGGCGCCCAAAGACTCCACGGACAAAGTGATGTTGGGGAAGAGCCAGAATGTGACCACGAGCTGGACGCCGGTCTCAGGCTCGGACTTCAGCTGGACCTCAGTCCCTCTGGACCAAGGGGAACACGTCCTCTGGCACAAGGACGGTCTCATGGCCGTGTGGCTCCTGGGAGAGAAGGTCCCAGGACTCTACTATGGGCACGAGGCCGCCAAGATCAGCAAGAACCCAGGTCTGAGTCCCAACCAGGTCTAAAGCAGGTCTAAAGCAGGACTAAAGCAGGTCTAAAGCAGGTCTAAAGCAGGTCTAAAGCAGGTCTAAAGCAGGTCTAAAGCAGGTCTAAAGCAGGTCTAAAGCAGGACTAAAGCAGGACTAAAGCAGGTCTAAAGCAGGTCTAAAGCAGGTCTAAAGCAGGACTAAAGCCGGACTAAAGCAAGTCTAAAGCAGGACTAAAGCAGGTCTAAAGCAGGACTAAAGCTGGACTAAAGCAGGACTAAAGCAGGTCTAAAGCAGGACTAAAGCAGGTCTAAAGCAGGTCTAAAGCAGGTCTAAAGCAGGACTAAAGCAGGACTAAAGCAGGTCTAAAGCAGGTATAAAGCAGGACTAAAGAAGGACTAAAGCAGGACTAAAGCAGGACTAAAGCAAGACTAAAGCAGGTCTAAATCAGGTCTAAAGCAAGACTAAAGCAGGTCTAAAGCAGGTCTAAAGCAGGTCTAAAGCAGGACAAAAGCAGGTCTAAAGCAGGTCTAAAGCAGGACTAAAGCAGGTCTAAAGCAGGTCTAAAGCAGGACTAAAGCAGGTCTAAAGCAGGTCTAAAGCAGGACTAAAGCAGGTCTAAAGCAGGACTAAAGCAGGTCTAAAGCAGGACTAAAGCAAGACTAAAGCAGGTCTAAAGCAGGTCTAAAGCAGGACTAAAGCAGGTCTAAAGCAGGACTAAAGCAGGTCTAAAGCAGGACTAAAGCAGGACTAAACCATGTGTGTTGTGTAGATTACCGTGGGTGTGTCCTGGTCCCTGAACACATCCAGGTCCTGGACCAACAGACCTCGTGGCAGGAGTCCATCGCTGAATGTCGAAGCCTGGATCTGGAGCTCATCAGCTTCTCAGACGCCATGATGCAGGAGCATGTCTACAAGAACCTGAAGGACCAGGACCAGGAGCAGGATCTGTGGATGGGCCTGCGTCAGAGCTCCTACTCTGGGAAATGGTGCGTGAGGACCTCAGAGAGACCAGGACTAATGTGAGAGGACTTCAGGACAGAGACCTGAGACCAGGACTAATGTGAGAGGACTTCAGGACAGAGACCTGAGACCAGGACTAATGTGAGAGGACTTCAGGACAGAGACCTGAGACCAGGACTAATGTGAGAGGACTTCAGGACAGAGACCTGAGACCAGGACTGATGTGAGAGGACTTCAGGACAGAGACCTGAAACCAGGACTAATGTGAGAGGACTTCAGGACAGAGACCTGAGACCAGGACTAATGTGAGAGGACTTCAGGACAGAGACCTGAGACCAGGACTAATGTGAGAGGACTTCAGGACAGAGACCTGAGACCAGGACTAATGTGAGAGGACTTCAGGACAGAGACCTGAGACCAGGACTGATGTGAGAGGACTTCAGGACAGAGACCTGAAACCAGGACTAATGTGAGAGGACTTCAGGACAGAGACCTGAGACCAGGACTAATGTGAGAGGACTTCAGGACAGAGACCTGAGACCAGGACTAATGTGAGAGGACTTCAGGACAGAGACCTGAGACCAGGACTAATGTGAGAGGACTTCAGGACAGAGACCTGAGACCAGGACTCAGTCCTGGACCAGGCTAAGCCTGTGTGTACTGTTTACAGGTACTGGATCAGTGACGAGGCCCTGAACCATGTGGACTGGGCTCCTGGTTCTCCTGGTTCTGAGGACGAGGGTCAGTGCGGCTCCATCAGTCTGAGCAGCTCTCAGGGGCTGAAGTGGAAACACCGGGACTGCTGCAAGCAGGCCAAAGCGGTCTGCTACAGGCCACCAGAGCTGGTGGCCTTATAAAGAACCAGGCCAGACCAGACTGAAGCATACTGACCCAGACTGAACCAGACTGAACCAGACTGAAGCAGACTGAAGCATACTGACCCAGACTGAACCAGACTGAAGCAGACTGAAGCAGACTGAAGCACACTGACCCAGACTGAAGCAGACTGACCCAGACTGAACCAGACTGAAGCAGACTGAAGCACACTGACCCAGACTGAACCAGACTGAAGCAGACTGAAGCATACTGACCCAGACTGAACCAGACTGAAGCAGACTGAAGCACACTGACCCAGACTGAAGCAGACTGACCCAGACTGAACCAGACTGAAGCAGACTGAAGCACACTGACCCAGACTGACCCAGACTGAAGCAGACTGACCCAGACTGAAACAGACTGACCCTGACGGAAGCAGACTGACCCAGACTGAAGCAGACTAATGCAGACTGACCCTGACTGAAGCAGACTGAGCTGGAGCTGTGTGTTACAGTCTATAGTGTCCCCTGATCCTTCATGTCTGTGTGTTACAGTGAATAGTGTCCCCTGATCCTTCATGTCTGTGTGTTACAGTGAATAGTGTCCCCTGATCCTTCATGTCTGTGTGTTACAGTGAATAGTGTCCCCTGATCCTTCATGTCTGTGTGTTACAGTGAATAGTGTCCCCTGATCCTTCCTGTCTGTGTGTTACAGTGAATAGTGTCCCCTGATCCTTCCTGTCTGTGTGATGCTCCTTGTAAATGGAGTTTTTTTGTTGATGTGCAGTCATGTATAAACTGTGCTATATAAATAAATATCCTTTAATAACCTGTGTGCACCAAGACAAAGCAGATTCCTGGTTTGTGTTTTCCTGGTTTGTGTTTTCCTGGTTTGTGTTTTCCTGGTTTGTAACTTCCTGGTTTGTAACTTGCTGGTTTGTAACTTCCTGGTTTGTAACTTGCTGGTTTGTAACTTCCTGTTTCTGATAAATAAAGTCCTTCTGAACATTTGTAAATCATTTAATAAGAATGAGTCCTATCGAGCCATGATGGTTCGGGGGACTCCTGAGGCAGCTGTCCAGTACCGGCAGGCCAAGCGTGCCGCGGCCCGGGCTGTTGCAGAGGCAAAAACCCGGGTCTGGGAGGAGTTCGGAGAGTCCATGGAGCATGACTATCGGTCGGCCTCGAAGAGATTCTGGCAAACCATCCGGCGCCTCAGGAGGGGGAAGCAGTGCTTTGCCAACACCATGTACGGTGCGGGTGGAGAGCTGCTGACCTCGACTGGGGATATTGTCGGGCAGTGGAAGGAATACTTTGAGGTTCTCCTCAATCCCCCCGTCACGTCCTCCGCCCCGGAGGTAGAGGCTGAGGATGTTGGGGCGGATACTTCCATCTCCCTGAGGTCACCAAGGTGGTTGGTAGCCTCCATGGTGGCAAGGCTCCGGGGGTGGATGAGATCCGTCCTGATTATCTAAAGTCTCTGGATGTTGTAGGACTGTCTTGGCTGACACGTCTCTGCAACATCTCGTGGCGATCGGGGGCGGTGCCAATGGAGTGGCAGACCGGGGTGGTCCCCCTTCTCTTCAAGAAGGGGGACCGGAGGGTGTGTTCCAATTATCGTGGGATCACACTCCTCAGCCTCCCTGGTAAAGTCTACTCCAAGGTACTGGAGAGGAGGCTACGGCCGATGGTCGAATCACGGATCCAGAAGGAGCAGTGTGGTTTTCGTCCCGGTCGCGGAACTGGACCAGCTCTATACTCTCCATCGGATACTCGAGGGTTCATGGGAGTTCGCCCAACCTGTCCACATGTGCTTTGTGGATTTGGAGAAGGCGTGCGACTGTGTTCCCCGGGGTGTCCTTTGGGGGGTTCTCCGAGAGTACAGGGTCCGGGGTCCTCTGCTAAGGGCCGTCCGATCCCTGTATGACCAGAGCCAGAGCTGTGTTCGCATCAGCAGTAAGTCAGACCTGTTCCCGGTGAATGTTGGCCTCCGCCAGGGCTGCCCTTTGTCACCGGTTCTGTTCACTGTATTTTTGGACAGAATTTCTAGGCGCAGCCAGGGGCCAGAGGGGGTCCGGTTCGGGGACCACAGGATTTCATCTCTGCTGTTTGTGGACCATGTTGTCCTGTTGGCTCCAACGAACCAGGACCTGCAGCATGCACTGGGACGGTTTGCAGCCGAGTGTGAAGCGACTGGGATCAGAATCAGCACCTCCAAATCTGAGGCCATGGTGCACGACCGGAAAAAGGTGCCTTGCCCTCTCCAGGTGGGTGGAGAGGTCTTTCCTCAAGTGGAGGAGTTCAAGTATCTCGGGGTCTTGTTCACGAGTGAGGGAAGGATGGAGCGTGAGATTGACAGGCGGATCGGTGCAGCGTGCGCAGTGATGCGGTCGCTGTATCGGACCGTCGTGGTAAAGAGGGAGCAGCGTCTGCAGTCAGAGCTGTATCGGACCCTTGTGGTGAAGAGGGAGCAGCGTCTGCAGTCAGAGCTGTATCGGACCGTTGTGGTAAAGAGGGAGCAGCGTCTGCAGTCAGAGCTGTATCGGGCCGTTGTGGTAAAGAGGGAGCTGCGTCTGCAGTCAGAGCTGTATCGGACCGTCGTGGTAAAGAGGGAGCTGAGGCGAAAGGCAAAGCTCTCGATTTATCGGTCAATCTTCGTTCCCTCCCTCACCTATGGTCATGAGCTTTGGGTAATGACCGAAAGAACGAGATCGCGGATACAAGCGGTCGAAATGAGCTTCCTCCGCAGAGTGGCTGCTCCCTTAGAGATAGGGTGAGGAGCTCAGTCACACGGGAGGAGCTCGGAGTAGAGCCGCTGCTTCTCCACGTCGAGAGGAACCAGTTGAGGTGGCTCATCTGTTCCGGATGCCTCCTGGACGCCTCCCTGGGGAGGTGTTCCGGGCACGTCCCACCGGGAGGAGGCCCCGGGGAAGACCCAGGACACGCTGGAGGGACTATGTCTCTCAGCTGGCCTGGGAACGTCTTGGGGTCCCCCCGGACGAGCTGGAGGAAGTGTGTGTGGATAGGGAAGTCTGGGCGTCTCTGCTTAGACTGCTGCCCCCGCGACCCGGCAACGGATGAAGCGGAAGAAGGTCCTTTATTCGTCCCACAATGGGGACATACACACACATGATCTACACACACACATGACATACACACACACATGACATACACACACACATGACATACACACGACACTCACATGATATACACACACACATGATATACACACACACATGATATACACACACACATGATATACACACACATGATATACACACACGATATACACACACATGACATATACACACACATGACATACACACACATGATATACACACACATGATATACACACACATGACATATACACACACATGACATACACACACATGATATACACACACATGACATATACACACACATGACATACACACACATGATATACACAT